TCCATACCACACTACCGTACTCCAGTACACTACGCACGTAAGCATTATAGATTATTTTTTTCGTGTTATTCGTGAAGTGTTTACCATTTCTAATTAAAAATCCTAACGTTTTGGAACTTTTCGTAATTATTTTATTGAAGTGCGGGACAAAAGTAAGCTTTTCATCAAAAATGACACCCAAATCACTTATTTCAGAAACTTCTTCCAACTTGATGTTATTAATGCTATATATTGTTTCGATTTTATTGAGCCTTCGCGTAAATTTTATATGCTTGCATTTACTGACGTTTAATTCCATTTTGTTATTTTTACACCAATTATATATAGCATTAATATCCACCTGCAAGAGCTCCGAGTCAGCTAAGTTGTTAATTACTTTTGTTAATTTTAAATCATCCGCAAACAAAAAACACTCTACTATAATGCACAGTATCGCAAATGTCGTTAATGAAAATGTTAAAGAGCCAAGGTCCTAAGTGTGACCCTTGAGGAACCCCGGAGCAGGCTTTATACAGACTCGAGCTAAAACCTTTTAAGACAACAAATTGTTGTCTATTGAATAAATATGATTTGAACCACTCAAGCATATTACCATTGAACCCGTACTTACTTAGTTTAAAGAGTAAAATATCATGCGAAACTTTGTCGAAAGCCTTAGTTAAATCGGTATAAATTGCGTCAACTTGCTTGTGGTTGTCAATAGCTGGCACAATGAATTCACTGTATGAGACAAGATTTGATGTAGTAGATCGACCCTTTATAAAGCCGTGCTGGTTATTATTAATCATTTGCTTAACATGACATTCTAGATATGGATAAATTATTGCTTCAAATACTTTGGCAAAAGTGGAAAGTATGGAAATCGGCCTATAATTCTCAATGCACTCGCTACCCTTGGACTTATATACTGGTACAATCCTAGCTATCTTCCACTTGTCAGGAAAAATACCCGAGCGAAGTGATTCATTGTATAATAAATATAATGGGAAACTTAATACCCATGCACATTTAGAAATAAATACAGGAGGGATATTATCATAACCTGTCCCTTTAGTTGTATCAAGTCTTTTTAAGTATTGATAAATCTGCCTTCGCGATATTACAAGATTAGTGAACGCTCCAAAGTCACGTTTACATTGATTATTATAATGAGATGGTAATGTATTTGAATTTTGAGATTGTGTGTAAACAGAAGCAAAATACGAGGCAAATTCGTTACAAATTTCTGATCCAGATTTCATTACTTTTTGTTTGTAAGTCATTATGCCTGGGAGTGCGGTACTATTATCCTGTTTGCCCTTTAGGTATGACCAAAAATATTTAGGATTCCTACTAATATTTTCTTCAACAATCTTAATGTAATTATTGTAGCAAATTTTCGATAATTCTGCACAACGTTTGCTCATAACACGTAATGAAATTTCATCAAGTGGGTTTTTATATATTTTGTATTTCTTTAAAAAAACTTGTTTCTCCTTATATAAATTTATCATTTCCTTAGTGAACCATGGAGGGTATTTTTTTACCTTTTAGTTTCTTTTTTGGTACATGTTTTTCAATCAATTTGTTCAAAATTTTATAAAATTTATCGATCATTAAGTTTATTGACTTACAATTACAAAATTCGCTTAACCAATTTATATTATCTAATTCTGAAATTATACTTACGTAGTCAGCTTTAAAATAGTTCTTCTTTTCACAAGTAACGTTGTTTTTTAAAGAAGTTCTTGATGAATAAGAGACTAATATATCTAAGGGAGGATGGTGGTGATCTGGAGACACCATTGCCAAAATAGACTTACTAATTTTTATGTTACTATAATTACTGAATATTAAGTCTAATATTTTATTACTGTTATTAGAAATGTTATTATGTTGAACTAAATTATTGAGAGATGCAAAATCAACTAGCAAATTTCCTAAGGAACTATTAGAAATAACATTATCATCAGTGGCGAACCAATTGATATTACTTAAATTAAAATCTCCCACGAGCATAACATTTTGTCTATTCTCTGCGATTCTACTATTAAAATTATTGATAAAATTAGACAGCATATTACGGCTAACAGGAGGAGGCAAATAAACTGCACATAATGCAATTCTGTTATACTCATCGTGACAATTTTCTCGTTCAATATTTATCCAAAGATCCTCACACTGACTTTCACAAAAACTGAGTCGCATGGATTTCAGTCTATTGGAGACCGCCACCAAAACTCCACCACCGTCTTTTTTACAATGTAAACGCGAACTGTCACGATCTCTTCTATATACTGTATAACGGTTATCGAATAATTCAAGGTTCTCTATTTTATTATTAAGCCACGTTTCTGTTAATATAATAACATCATAATTTGTACACGATAAATTGCATATGAAGTCATGTGTTTTAGTACGGAGACCTCGGACATTCTGGTAGTATATATTTAGACCGTTGAATTTTATAACATAAAGCACTAAAATGATCCAATAGAGTTCCATGCAACTTACTGGATATTATTCAGTATAGCCTGATTTTTTACATGAATACATTCTGAATGTTCTGTCTTTCTCATAAAAACCTTGCCTTGTCTAACCCACACAAATCTGTATTTTTTTTCTTTAGATTTTATTCGAGCTGCTGCATGTAAAGACTTAATAGCTGGTGACAAGTGTTCCATAACGTATATTGGCTGTTTATCTGCCGCAATACCTATGTGACTTGTGTTCAGTTTATCGTCAGGATGCGATTTATTATAATTGATGACACATGCTAGCATCGTGTCTCTCATTCGTGGTGTGGATAGCTTCACGATCACAGATCTGGGTCTTTTGTCGCTATTGTTCAACTTAGCAACTCTGGTACAGTGATGTATATCAGACTCCTTTAAATCACATGATATTGTTTTACTAAGTTGCATTACTGTACTAATTAAATTTTCATTTCTATGCTCAGGAATCATTTGTATTTCAATGTTATTTGATCGATTATACTGCTCCATACTATGTATTCTTTGTTGCAAATAAGATGTTAAATTTTTTAGTGCATTTTTCTCTCTTTCCATTTCCGCAATTTTATCGTCGTAACTTGCAATTATTTTTTTAGTAGATTCGTATTCTTCACTCAAAAAAGTCATCGAGTTTTCAATAGTACATATTTGTTCTTTTATAGGTTTAAGATTTTCTTGAATCATTTTGTTTAACATGTTTGTGATATCTTGCAACAGTAAATTTTTAAAGGCTTGAAACTCATTACGAATGATTTGTTCAACGTCTTGTTTTGTAAGATGTTCTGATGCAGGCGACCACTTTTCAGACTGATAGCATTTTTGCCGGTTTGTTACGTTGTTAGATTCTGGAGAAGTATTTTTCCTTGTTGTTGTTATTTTTTTCTGTGGCAACATTCTTACTTTTTAACAACTATGGTAGCAACTTATGTACAGAAAAATAAATAAATTGAAATAGGCCGCTACACAGCTTGGGTTTGAACCCGTATCGCTCACGTGTGGAAGTATGTTTTACACCGTTGGGCCACCGATATAGTTAATCAATCATGTAAAAATTGCGAACTGTATGTACAATATTAAAATCTGTGTCTGTAGTTTTTACTAAACACCCTCTTTAGAGAAAGTTATTCTCTTTGTATCTACTCACTTCACTGTATACTTTTTTAAAATTTCTATGTTTTATTTAAAATTAGTAGTACTTTAGGTGTTTCTTAAAATCGTTTTGTAAAGTATTTATTTTAAGTAAGACACTTCTTCTGATTCACTGCCCTTAGTAAATGTACCTATATTATATGATTATCGTTTCACACTTTCGTATTAAACTTATTCAAACAATAATGTTTTATGTAGTTCACACACTGACTTTATTATTTACACATAACTACGATTTATAACTTCAAAACACAGTCTTTATATTTTTAAAACAAATTATTTAACGGAGCAATGTAGTTCCGTGCGCTTACGTTCCGTTCCATTTATACATATATGACTAATGATGCATTAGGTGTATATTTTGGGAATAATTTATATTTCATATAATACAAATACAATCTTACAACGAGATTCACTATCGGTAATAAAATATGTGGGCTAAAATTGCAAAGAACTTTCTAGAGGTTTAATACATTGAAAATAAATATGTGATAAGTATTTTTCGGTCACTTAATAAAATTTTACTGAGCACTTTTAGGACAAATAAAGTTTATTGAGACATTATCGTTAATGGTTCTTCACTCCGCTCCGTAAATTTTTTGTATCATGATATAAAAACGGTTTATTTAAAATTTATTTCAGCCTCTACCTTAGTATTCTAAACACAAAGTAATCATATGATAAATTAAATAACAACATATTTTCATTCCTTGATTAAATCCTTGACGGTTGCGTGTTCTAAACAAATGAAAACGTGATAACAGAAATGCTATCTATGGGCTGTTAAATTGTACCAACACTAAAGATAGTCACGTTTTAATTACTGTTTATAAATATTCATTAAACTTTTGTACTGTCAATACTTATATTTAAATAATAATTCAATAATTTCCCACTAAAAGTACCATTTAAATTTTAGTTATTATAATATTTGTGAATAAACAAAACAAATAAAGCATTTAAAATCACAGTACTGAAAACACTGATAATAAATCAATGGTTAAAACTTAAATTTCAAGTCTTCAAATAATTAATTAGTTAAAACTTTGGTCTAAAATTGTTAAGTCTTATAAACATATAATATGTAAATACAGTATGAAAAGCACTAGACAGTACCTACTATTGAAAACTAAAACAGTTTAGAGTATCTTCTCTACAAGCTTACAAGTCCTTATACATTTAATTTGACCTTAAACATATACTTTATATTGGGTCAATGAGCATAAAAGAAATTTTCTCTTGAAATCAAACTTAAATAATTAAAAAAGTTCAATTTAAAATCAATTACCTAAAGAACTGGTATAATTAACTTATACATGGCTATTGTGTATAGAGAACTTATTATTTTACTTTTTACAGGAATGCTCTGTGTTTGTTTTCGACAAACGCATTGCGGATAAACTGTATAAGCCGAAAAGGAAGGACAGCATACTAGATCGGATAAAAGCATGCGTCATAACTCTCGACAACATGCGTCATCCAAGAATGCTCCAAATCATACATTCGCTTGAAGAAAGTCACCACACCCTAGCATTTGCGTCAGAATGTGTGTTCGCCAGTCTTCATAACATCTTGGCGTGGCACGTAAGTACAGTAGTTACCAAGCCTACCTTTAATAGTTTCCGTTTATTATAATGTAACATTAAAAATTCAGAAAGACGGAGCTAAAATTATTTGTCGTTCAATATTTAAGTCGGATTTATATTTATATTTATGAAACAGCTCTGTGTTTATACAGCAAAAGTTAATTGTTTCTTCTTATTACCACATCAATAAAATAACAATTGCTATGATAGTACTAAAATTTTAAAAATTTAAATTTAAATGTCTTAAAAATTTATAAATATAAACAACTTAATAGCCAAATCTAATTATAGTTAACATTTATACAGAGCTGATCACAATTAAATGATAGTGCAAGCGATGCTTCTAAGCCTATTTAAACCAATTTCACGCTAAATTAATTATGAGCCGGCCTCTCCTCCCAAATAACTATCGTTGTAATGTATATGATAATGGAATTTTGTATCATAATTATATTATAAATAATTGATGTTTAGATAAACTTTCTATGTAGAATTTTAATATTAAGTAAAATTAACAGAATATTCACAACCTAATCTCTATAGAAAATTAAATAATTCATAAATATTTTACATAATTTAAATAGCAAGTAATCCTTTCGTAAAAGAGCAATATAAATGAAAGCTTAGGTGTCCGTGTCGCAGGAGGCATCACCGACACCCCCCAGCATGGGGTCCCCAGTGTTGCCCCACCCAATATCACTGGGCCCCCCGACGGCCCAATTGATACAGACCCCGCCGCAGCAAAGACCGCCTTATGCCAGAGAATACCACTTCCTTGACATCGAATTACGCTTTGGATTGCTTCAGGTATGTCAAACTAATTGTATAATTTCAAAATGTCAGCTTAAATATTTGAAATATTTAAACTCATCGGTTTAAGGTCGAAGGTCATTTGAAATAAGATTTCAAATATAAAGAATATATAAAACAAATTAACTTTAATAACAAATTAAATTTAATACAATTAAGCGATTGCTTTCGACGGTGTCAATTTCGATTCATTCTGTATGTAAAAGAAATTGAAATTTTAAGCTTTAATTCACTTTACGCAGATAAAAAATTTATTCTCAATTACGAATAAAAAACTGAAAAGTCGGATCATTTGTGCTATTGCAATATTTTTAAAAAACAATATTTATTTGTCGGCCGCTAGCATATCAACTCGTGGAACCAGTGGAGTGCAAATACATCTATCAAATATATCCTGACCAAAATATAGAAACCGAATATTGCAACAATTTTTTTTTAATAAATCCAATGTAGTCAAAATGCATATCAACTGGTGACATGAAGTGAATGAAAGCGAAATGGTATTTGGTAAAATTTTTTCTTTAATAATTGCAAAAGCTTTGACAAATTATTATCATCTAGATTTTTTTGTTTGATTGATTTTGTTCCCTTAGACTTTCATTTTCTTATGTGAATTAAAAGAAGTGTTATAACATAATGATGTCAACTGATTCTATTGCATGCTTTGAGTATTGAAGCAATTCATGAGGAAAAATATTACAAAAACGAGAGTATGTTAAATTGATTAATAGAAATAAATCGTAATGATATCTAAGATATTCATTTAAATGAAACTAATATTTTTCGGATGTACTTTACAGCAACCGAAACGTCGGGAATATGTAGTTTTTGATAAAAATAAAAATCGCGTAGTACATCCGTAAAATATTAGTTTCATTTAGAAATTGTAAATCAGTTTTAGAATTCAATATTTTTTATCGTATTCGACAAAATAAATATATTGTTTGGCCAAAAAACAAATGTGATGGAATCTTAAATCAATAAAAATATTATACAGAAACTGACGCTAATCCTTTTTAAAAAAAGTTCATTTTATATATTGCGTTGTGAAATCGATTTCATGAATGTACGTATAAATCAAACAAAATATTTTTTCTGCTGTTGGCTAGCTTTACGCTGTGGCATAAATGCGTATCACCTACATTAAGAAACATACATACATAGTCGTAATACTAATCAAAATAAGTGCTAAATTACAAGTCGGTCAACTTACAGTACTTTTACTTTATTTTATTTGTAAAGTACAGACGCGTCAACAATAGTTATATATGATATAATTCACGGCCACTTGGATTAACTTGCCAAAAATAAAATTTTAAAAACTTATTATAACCTTCTATATAACACTGTGATTGTTCTTATGTTACGATAGCAATACCACCACATTTCTTGCATGGTGTCAGGAATCTTCCGCTTAACAGAGCGAAGTGTTCGTACCGCAAATTCAGAAGCATCGCTCGGTATAATACGTTTATTATCCATACAAAGGTGTTGCCACAGCCATGTGCATTTTATTTTTTAATTAATGCGACACATACGTAAAATAATTCACGATACGTAAAGTCTATTTTCCATATCATAAACTTTTATTTCTTTGTTATATAGAAAGCTGATTTTTCGCAAAAGATTATGAAAATTCAATTCAATTATTTAATTAAAGTCCTTAATCCGTAACAAATTTGCAAACATGAAGCTTAATGTAAAAGTAATTTTAATTTTAATGTTAAAGTAATTTTTGTGTACAACCATTTAAATAATATTAATTTTGTATCCTAGAACTACTGTAGTACTATTATATCAATTATATCATTTCAGTAGCTATATATCTTATGGATCGCATATAGCATTTAGACCACTGATTCCTTGTGAATTTTATTCGATTTGTGGTCACGTTGCATTTGATGAATTACCTATAATAATATCAACCGCAGTATTCGGATTAATAGTGATCGAGGTGTTCTTGTTTTGACATTCTGCTCTGAAAATTTCGTATATGAAACACGTTCTCATATACCCGATTTTTGAAATCCCCCGCGGACATGTTATGATTTTCGAGTCATTCATACGTCGCTCAAAATGACTGAACGAAAATCAATTAATTTAATATGGACATAAAAAATGGCGTATTTTGAAATACGATGAATTAGAGAAAATATTCGCATACTATTGAAAAATTACATTGAAACGATAGTTTTAATTAAGGAGAAAACTTTTTCAGTATTTATTATTTATCATATGATAATAGTGAAGTATATGTCGATAATAAAGTTATCATAAAATAGAAAGCTGAAAATAACATTACTTTATCAAGGAGTGAACAAAGGGAAGAAATAAAAGGATTCCTAAGGCTCTAGTTATAAAGATTAAAGATACCTGGAAAGTCATTAAAATCATAATAAACACCTCGGAATCTAACAGCATGAAAGACGAGTTTCACTTTAAATAAAAGACTTTCAGAGAGAAAAAGTTTAATATACGTTTTATTTATCACAATCGGTAGACTAAACATTAAAAAACCTTGTAGATATATTTATTTATATTAAATTTTTATTTTAATCTTCAGGTGCTTTTATAAACTAAATATATTTGTCCTAATACACCATGAATTACACATACATATATTACTTTTTTAAGGAACATTTATTAAATATGGAGTTTTATTTCTACGAAGCGAAATAAATTGTATGTTATTTAATAAATAACTTTTATTTAATACTCACCGTTTCACACATTGAAATACAGGCGCTCATGAAAGCGTGAGATTCAATTAGAGGCCAGCTATCGGAGCATTATTACGGCTTCAATCTCGGGTGTAAAAATATTTGTACAATAAATAATTAAACTTGTTGAAAACACACTTTTAATACCAGTTAATTGAAACACCAGAGCATAATTAAATAAAATGTATTAATAATAATATTAAAGCACTTAAACTATCTTTACTTATGAAGCAATCGTAACTTAATTTAAATTTACTTCATTTTAATATTCAGATTTTATTCTGATTGTTACAGTTACTGTTACCAAAATATTCAGTCGAATATGTAATATAAGGGTATTATAGGTTTTTTTTTATATAAATATATTATAATCGTACAATACTGTGTCTACTACGGTTACAATAAAACGGAAGGGTATTATGTTGAGTAATCAATTGTGTAGTGAATTGTTAAACTATACGGAAATAGGATACCCAAGTTCGAGGATCTAGGTGAGCTATATAAGGGTAACTCTGTTCCGCTACAACACCACAGCTAATATTCTAAATGCACTTGTGTTGCTATCTATTACTCAGATAACAAAACAATTCTATTTATAGATTGTATTGTGATCATAAAAATAATAATTTGCAAATAGGTCAAATCAAAAATAGATGAAAGGAAAGTACATATCTCGTTATTAAAATTAGTGTTATATAACAATTTTAAAAACTTAAATAAAACCTAATTATTTTCAGACCTTTAAATTTTTTATATTCATATTTTTCTATATAAAATAGAAGTCATCAACATCAAATTATAATTTAATGAAATTCAAAATGAAATACATTATCCAATCCCTATTCCTCTTTTTAAAGGAATCGCTGTCTTTGTACGTAGCATTATTTATACTTAATGGTTCAAAACGATTTTATGCTCTCATTTTTTTGCATTTTCAAATTTCTTTTAGGCACACAAAAACATCCAACAATAGAATGAATGTTTTAGAGCCGCAATTCGTTCTCAAACCATTCATAGAATTGCGTTGGAATCGGAATAGTTTTACTTTACTATTATTTATTATTTCTGCATTCCATAGAATTCTAGAGGAGAATTTTTGGAATAATTTCGGATAACACATTCGATCTCTAAAAATAATTTGTATTTAAATCGTGTTTTTAAATAAGAATTGCTAAATTTTGCAAACTGCATTCCAATAACGTTAATGTATTTCTATAGATAATCGAAGCCCTCAACTACTTGCACTACACTGCAAGACAGATACATCGGAACATCTGCCCTCAGATAATCATTGTTACCAAACGTGGGACTTGGAAGCTGTTCGGACTGGAATTTGTCGGTAAGATACAATCACATAAAAACAGTACCCTTCTTGTTCAGAGTTTTACAATAATCACATCATATTACACATACTTTATTAAAATTTATTTTGTTTTATATTGTTAAATCAAACGTAGAATTTGATAAATACATTCGTATCTTGTGTGAGTAAACTATTCTGTACTTTTGTAGTTTATTTGAAATCAGATACATCAAAGTTGTTCAAGTGAAAAGTATCTCTAGCAATCGACGCCTTTTGCAAAAGTTTCCCTGTATCCGCTCTGCTTAACAACAACATTCTTCACAAATTTGTTTTTGTTTGAATCAAAAATAACAAAAATAAAATAAATATTATGAATTGTTTATTTATTTTTTTGATTTAATAGTATGGTATAGTAGAATAAATTGAAGCATTTGCTTTTTTATATTGTTATGCATGAATTATAAAATAATTTTAAACTTTTTCACCAACAAATATAGTTTTAAATGTTTAAAATAGTTTTTAACATGATATAAAAAGTATTATGTTGTAGGGAAAATAAATAGATAATGAAGATTTCGTTTATAAAATTCTGAAAGTAGCTTAAGATAATTTTAAAAATATATAACTAGGTAAAATGTAATATATTGTGAAATGACTCGTTAAATAGTAAAAAACTCTGTGATCGTAAATACATACATTCCTAAATAAAAAGAAATACAAACTCGTGAGTAAGTAAAATATTAATTAATTTGCTTAAAATTAGAAGCAAAACATTCGCTCAATTAAAACTTTAATTTGCAATCAGAACCAATTTGCCTATTAAACTATTATTCTATTTATTTATTTTTGAAATCTTAAATAAACATAAATTAAATTTAAAACGTAGAAAACATATTCATATAATCTTTAGTATAATTTTGTTCAAATAATAACTTATTCGCTATCAAAATACTTGTTGTATGATACCTTTAATAGAAAAGAAAAACTAATGCAAAGTTTTAAATAACCGCTATCATATTTACTTAAGATGTTGTTAACGACAAAGTTCACTACAAAACAAAACTTTTCTTTTCATCGAAGATAAAAATAATTGAAAATATCAAGAACAAGACGAAGTGTTTGTGAATTAATAAGAAATTTAAAGGTAAAATTTCTATAAAATTCTATATTACAGGACAAAAGTTACGACGATACTCTCTCCCGAAAAGATAAAATTAAATTAGTGTAGCAAACTATCCTAATATAATAAGGAGACATTTAGATAAAGAAAAAATACAAATTTTCCTTCTTCATTTACCACAACTTACTACGTCACTATACAAACCAGAATTTAAAAATATTTCATCACAAATTTTTGTACGATAAGGTATCTACATTATTAATAATTGAATAAGAAATGAGAAAAGCTTTAAATATGTATAAAGTGATTATGCAAAATTGTGTTAAACATATTGACAATTATTTTTGTTTCGTCTTATTGTTGCTAATGATCTATGTAACTTCATTGTTGACGATGTAAAGCATAATATTAATAAAAAAAGTGACAAAAACTAAAAACAAAAAAATGACATGATTTTATAGGACTTATTTTCATTAATAACATAAGCGGAAAATAACAAAGCAACTAAAGAGAAAAAATAAATCTGATAATTCCTAAAATTCGAATGATTTCGAAGAAACGGCATATAAATTTTCCAATAACAACGTCTACTGGAATGCTTTCGATAGAATTTCCCGAAGAGAGAACAGGATTTCAAACGTGTGTTTAATCAAAAAGGCAATGCCAAGTTAAATTCATAAATTTTCTGATATATCTCTTGCGATATATTTACAAAAGGAATTATAATGTGAAAAACCTAGCTCGTGAAATAATTTTCAATGTAGTTTCGATTCAATTTCATTATAACATATGTATTATTACAGTCAGTATTATATATGAGAGACATCCCTAAATACATACATATATTAAGAATTATAATATTAATATTGAATGTAGTGTAGTATATAGGAGATAGTAACTTTATAATGTATAAAAATAATGAAGTTTGTTGTCTGTTCTATTTTTTTATTGCTTATTGTTATAAAAATACCAATGATCCTGTTTTATAAAAGTAAACGGTTATTTATATTTACCCAACGACACTGGAAACCCTCCCTCGTGGGCCGGGACCCTATTATAGTCTCGCAACACAATAACAAGTATCTTCAACAAATCAAACGACCTTTTACTATGTTCCATTAAACAGAACATTTAATGAAAAAGCTAAGCACAGCATTTCTTATTTGTTGTTATCTTTGGATTATACTCTACAAGTGTAATCATTTGATTCCCAAAAAGATTATACGTAAGACTTACACCCTGAAAAAGTTATATAAAATTATAATTCACATATATTTAATTTTCATGTAGTTAGATCCTCTAAGGACTTAATAAAAACTTTTTGTAGCTTTCGTGTATTTATGTATTAAGATTTAAAGAAACTTTTTCTCAAACGATTTTGCTTCAACATTTGGAAGTTATTGATGTTATCAAATATGTTTCAGAAATTGTCGCTACAACTTTGAGATTTGATGACAATTAACGAGTTTGGACTCATTTTACACTTAGAAAGCTAAAACTCAGTCAAATCTCTAAATTTGTTTCTTTTGAGTAATAAAAATGTTTCTAGCTATATCCGTACAATATAGTTTTCAAATTATATGAATAACACTGGCATTAATTTAAAATGTTTCGTCCAATTATAAAGATTCCATATTAAATGTTAGTTATGCAAAATTAGAATTAAAAACTTATGAATATTACAGGTAATATAATGAAGAAAAGCAGAATAAAGCAATTAATGTCAATTTTAGCTCAATAACGCCTTGTTTCTCAACTAAGTGTTGAAATATTCAAGCGTATTTTCTGTTTAATGAATTTAATGAAACAATGTTTTTGCAATATAAACTATCCGTTCCAATAAAGCAATATCTGAATAATACTGACGCATTAAAAATTATGCAGGTTTGAATTTTCTCTTTAATTTATAAATCTTATTTACTTTATGTGGTTATGATTAATGTTTCTTTGTATAAAACGAAGTTATCAAAGCGAGCCGGTTATACTTAATTAATATAAAAAATATCGAATGATAAATTGAGTATCAAAGATAGTTAAATTTTTCTAAGCTATTTTTTTTTCACCTTTTAGTATTCGTGCTTTTTCTCGTAAGTTTGATTTAAGTATAAAATGCTGCTTTTTTCTTAAATGGATATTCATTTTTATGAAATAATTACAAAGATTTAATATATGATATTTTATAACATATTTATTATGGCAATGGCCTGAATATATTTTTGACTTAATTTATTAAGTAAGATGATTTGAAAATAAATACACATGAATTCGTTATACATAAACATGAAGATTTTATAGGTAAAGTTCACATTCTGTTAAAACCCCACTTATTTCTGTTTCCAAAACGATATGTTCTTTATTTAGAGAAGTAAATTTCTATGATTATTTTAATTGGAAATGAATTGTTTGAAAATCAATATTTCTAAAACTGAGCCATAGATTTTACAATTTTCTAATTCTACATTTCTAAATGAACGAATAAATAAAGAAACTATTTCTTCACAGAAAATATAGCTCATGATCCGTTGGACATGGTGAGCGTGCCGCCGTGGTCCATAAAGGTGGCGAAGATATGTCAACCAAACCTCGATTATTTGGGTAAATTTTTGTTAGAAATTAACGTAATACAAAAACAGTCAAAGGTTTATTGGAGACAGTCAAAAACTTAATGGTTTAAACTAACTACGTTCTAATTACTTTATATGTAGAATCCTTCTGGATCGGAAAGACAAAACGATATTGATTCCCATGCTAACTGAGGTATACCAAGTTTTATAATAACTCAACAAATTTCTGTTAGCCCCCGAGGTACAACTCAGCGGTCACTGCAACATCCTATCTGACATGTTCTCATTGGGACTGATTATTTGCGCCTTATTCAATCAAGGCAAGTCACTGCTGCAGACAAACAACAATCCCATGCTGTATCTAAGACAGATTGAGTTTGTAAGTATACTTTCACTAAACAAATAATTTTAAGAGGATTTATATATTTAATATTTTATACTATTAAAGTCATGTACGAGTACTTTTTTTTCTGACACCCTTGCACGTTTTCATCCGTGAATACCCAATTTATTCCTTCAACGCAGTATCTAGTTTTTCAAAGATCGGAATATTTACGACAAACTAGGTGATGTGATTCAAAGTTATGAAACAAAAGAGGAATATAGTGAAGTTTATTTCATGCGTGAGTGGCATAAACTTGAAAGCTGAAGTTATATGTCTGGTCAAGGAAAATTTGAATAGGTCAATCGATACCATGAAAAATGAAAAAAAAACCTGGAGACAAACATGATAACAAGAGTCCAATTTATATTCGTTGTGTATACTGATATTATTATAAAATAAAAAACTCCCAGATAGTAACTAAGGTTACGGTTATTTTCCCGGTTTAGAGTACGGAAAAAGGATTTTAATGAAATTATAGGCAACGATCAATTCCTTTGAACTTCAAACATATGTAACTATATTAAACAAGTAACTATACACATATAATGTTCCAGAGTAAATAATAGAATGCAGTTGAATTATATATGAAAATGTATCTATATAAATATGGATATATAAATGGATATGTAATGGATTAAAATAATTGAAATATATAAAAAATATAAAATAGAGATATATATTCACAAATAATTTACCGACAAATATCAATTTAGTTAGGGATTCCTCGTTTTATCATATCTAAGGGAAAGCAGTCGTCCCTTGTGAATTAATGTCCGAAATTCCCACAATATTCTCAGGTTTATGACACAAATATGTTCACGTAATTAATATGATATTTTGTTAGAATATAAAACAGTATTTTAAAAGAACGTAAAGTCAAAAACTTATCTTTATATTTATATGTATATACATAATTAATATTACTTCCTTTTAAATGTCACTTTATTTTACCATATTAATAAGGTATTGTTATTTGGAAAAACGAACTCTGTAAAGACACACGAGTAAAATTATATTTATATATTATTGGAATTTTCAGATGGAATTATAGACGTGTTTACTTACCTATATGTCACACGAAGTAAACATATATATAAGTGAATATATATACATACGCTTTCTGTAACATGTCACATATACATATTTAATAAGGGCCTAGAGGAATCGAAATATAATTATTAAATACATTGTAACAGTATTTAGAGTCACAAACAGTCACAAATGAATCAAATATTATAGCTTTCCAAGCCACTAAGCTTTTGTTAATTAAAGGTTTCTACAGATCGAGAGTGCCTGTCTACTACAAGACTATAATCTTATTAGAGAAATTAGACGAAGGCTGATACTGCGAACGATTAAAACGATAAACTCCAATTAATTTTGCGACGGTTATGATTTTTATGTAGATATAACGTGCTTACCTACGTATATCATATACATAATTAAAAAATTTAGTACTTTGTTTTATGATTTGATTTAATCAAATTAAAATAATATGTAACTTTTCGAGTTTTGAATATTGTCTTTACAAATATTTCCGAGTGTCAGTCTTATTTAAATTTAAACTATGATATTAGTTGTAGTGACTTAAAAACAGTGATCGGTTTTAAGTAGTCAAAATAAAATAAATTTCTTCAAATTCCACATTACTCAACCTTACATTATTTTTCATATTTAATTTTAGTAACATTTTATTACTCTGTCCAAATTATTTAAGGTTTTAATTTTTAGTCGTTTAGGTTGTTATTATCAATGATTTCACGACTAACCAACCATTATTATTAAAGAATTATGGTTGCGATAAAACTTTCAGTAGTTGAATTTATATTCTAATAAATGATTTGCATTTTCAACACGTGTTTGAAAATAATATCCCCACAACAATTGCAAACTCATATTTTTTCATAAGAATTTTCTTATTTGTGTTCAATAATTCTGATATTGTTATTTTTTGTTTGAATGAAATTGCAATTTTAGTTCATAAATCTTTCAGTTTTAATAACTGACAATATCGAATAACTAAATAAAAAAACTGTATTCTTATAATTACAGGTTTTTTCACACATTGATAAACATAGACATTTTAATGTTTATTTACGGGTAAATTGCGTGATTCATGATCTGTAATACAATGTATATTAATTATCGAGACTTACTCTAATTATTAATAAGTATTCCGAGGGTTTTGACTGGCTTTCTTCACTTATTATTTTATATACATCGAAAAACACAAATGTGATTTTTTATTAGACTTTAAATTTTGCCAAGAGGTATAAAAATATTCACCTAAATAATTATTAGAAGAGAATAGTAACAGACTTTTGATATTCTTAAAAACATAGTTTAAGAAATTCATGAAAAGTCTTAATATAACCAGTTCTGGCTGTCTCTAAATTTCTTTCCCTATCTTTGTCGAAACGCAACTGTAATTATTGTCCTAAACCGAACTATGACCATAGGCTAAATTAAAACAATATTGATAAAAGAAGTGCAACCTTGATGAAAAGAAAAATATTTTTTCCTTAATAATTTAGCTAGTCCAAACCCATAAGGAATTTTAAGTACCGTTTACGTCCTCTGCGTTTGTCTCATGTGCATTATACCTAACCAGTGATGCTTTAAGTAAAATATTGAAGATACAAATGAGTTACATTTTAGTTGGATCAGCAAGTGAATGCGATGCTGCCTGGCGTACCATCCGGCTTGCAGGAAGCAGTCCAGCGCCTCCTCTCTCGGGACCCACATCCTCGCCCTACCACTCAGTTGCTGCCGCTTATCAACTTCTTTAAGTAATAATTTTCCTTTATAAATGTTAATTCACTCACGCTTTGGAAATCATCACTCATGAATAATTATAACAGTATAAAATTGCATTTCCTCTATGTTCATTTTCTCTCAAGTTATGTAACAAACAGACAAATGATAAATATCATGTGTAATTTTAAATTCTAAATAGCATTAGGAGCAAAATATTTTATTTATTTATTTCACAAGTTGGAACGAAATTATTTATTTCACAAGTTGGAACGAAATGTCAATAGATGCCAGAGTGAACCAGCAATCCAGGCAATGCAGTTCTTAGACGTCATTACTATCAAAGATCCTGTACAGAAGAGCAACTACTACCGCGGACCTTTGTTAGAAGCTCTTCCGTTTATACCAAAGGTATTTGTAGATTTATTTATATTCTTAGATGGGACACAACGCGACTGTTACTGTGAGTATATTTTGACGTTTGTTTATGTATAAGCTGTGCTTTAAAATTTTAGATGTAGTAACTCAAATTTTTAACCCTAACCTTATATAAATTTAGCATTTCGATTGCCCCAAAAGACTATAGTTTACTGTTTCTTAGCTATGTTATATCATATTATAGGGTATACCCTATAATATTTAGTATACATTTCGTTGCCCCACCAGCTTATCGCCAACGTTAGAGTTATAGTTACCGATTTTGTGGATAGTTCCTAATTGATTGCCGATAAACATGAATAAACAAAAGCCGCGGACAGGTATGATTTTCATTACACGAATATTTCAAAGGTCTTTATTTTTTTATTTTTTTAAATAAAGCTAAATATAAATTGTCGAGAATTTTATGATAAAAACATTCCAAAAATGTACGTTGTTTTTTGTTCTAAAATCACCATTGTCGTCTCTAAATAAAAGAGTTGTTAAAAGGATTTATAACTATTGGTTTCATTTACTATAACTATTGTTTTGTTATAGCATTTAGGACCACAATTCTTTTGCTTATGCGAAGACTAATGTTTTTAAACTTGATGTATGTGTATTAATATAATGTTGAATAATCTTAATTGACATATTATACGTTATGGAAACATAATGATCCCAAGTTTCCCCAACAGCGTCGATAATTAAGATCGTGTTGCAAGAGAATAACGTGGTTAATATTATTAAAGATCCTGAATTGCAACATCACTTTTACAATAAAATTACTCACAATTACAATTAGTAAATGTAATAATTTAAAACTAGAATTTTGTAACTTCTATTTCTGAACTCTTGTGTTTGTTTTTCTTTATTTGATAGATATTCTTTCGTCTTTATTTTTTTTTCTACCAAAACAATCCTCCTACGATGTACTTAACCTTTAAAGTATATTTTGGTTAATTATAGGTACATTAAGATTTTTTATTTAGCCAGCGATTGAGCAACATTCTTGATTTCATAATACTGTGCTCGCGTAAAGTGTTGCTTACATTTTATTATAAATTGGCAACAACCTTACAGAAACTTCGATGGCAACTCATCTGGCCAGCGATTCAGTTGGAACTAAGAACATCTGAAGTGTTGGCGTCAGTCCTAATACCAATCATGTGGATAACGAACGAGGCTACTCCTGAAGAGTTTGAGGAGTTCATCATGCCAGCATTGAAGTAAGCTTATAAATCTACCTACTAAGCTTAAAAACCACTTTTCAAACAAAAATTTTGTATTCTCACGACCATAACATCAATGGTTGTCAATTAAAACAAAATAAAAATAATAATTCAATCTTATAGATTATGTTAATGCTTTATATTTTCTTTTGAACATATCAAAATAGCAGTCGTAAACCAAGACTAAGATCATATAAAGGATTTTAAAATAAACCTCGGTAAATACAATTTACATTTCCACTTTGATCTCAAACGGGGTGACAAAGGAATATCACAAGGTGACATTTACCGCGACTGCAAGAAAGATCTCAAAGCTCGGAGAAATAATGCACTATTTTGACTTTTAGGGGCATGGAATTTCAAAATCTCATGAATTCAACAAAAACGGTCCCAGCCGTTGTTACTTTTTTGGAAAACTTACATATTGTAATGCGCAAATGCTCTATTGAAGATATCAATAAAGAAATTTTACCGCTACTATATTTTGCCATGGATAACAGTAGCAGCCTGGTGCAGGTACAGCTGAAAAATATTTTCAATTAATACTAATATTTTATGTATAGTTTTTACCTTTTTTTCAAAAATGACAAATATTTCCTATTCATTATTTTTCTCGTTTCACTTACGAGTATCTTAACGTAACAAAGTTATAGTAACACTAACTTATTTTTAACTACATAGAAAAATAAATAACCGAACGTTTATAACGGTGTCAACAAAAAAAATAAAAATATTTTTTTCATACAGTTTTATTTAAAATTATTTCTTAATCTCAGAAAAATACGAGTAGTGTTGCGATTCTCAAAGTTTCTTTAAAGATACACAACAAAGAATTGCAGTGCCACTAATTCATCACAGTTTTTACGACGTGCAATGTGAAACGGATTCCACAAAAGAAATTAAATACACAAATAAATACTCTTGTCCTTTACCGCCAATTTAACAATCAAAAATAGTTTTTTAACAAGAATAGCTCAATGGAACATAAATCAATACAAATGTTTTTCAGACTTCATCGTTGATTGCAATTCAGAATACAGCGGACTTGCTTAGTGACAAAGTATTGCATTATATTATTTTGGGGAAAGTCAAGATGTTATTGGAAAAGAATCAGAGCGATGTTAAAGTAATTAGTCTCATTCTTGGTATCTACGAAAAGGTGCTTACACGCCTTGAACGGAATCATATTCTAGAGGCTGTTATTCCGACACTATTAGCTATGAGACTCAGTGACCCGGATATCATAACCCGAGTTGTCAGTAAGTTATCTTAGAATCATTCCTAAGGTATTGAAGTTAAATCAATCATCAAATGGAAGTATACACAACATTAATTTGCTATCAAGGCTTAAGTTCCCTCTTTAACAATTAGTCAAATTTGCGACGCGATGGTTTGTGCTTGCGAAATATCACTTTGTTTTTAAAATGCCGGCGAATTTTTAGTAGCCATATGCCAAAAGCGTGATAATTAATAAGCAATGCTGGGTATTGTTCTGATTTCATTATTTATTCACACTATACCAATTACTGTTACTTTCAGAGTTATATAAATCTATGCTGGTAGAAAAGAAATTCGGATTGACAACAAACGTTATGGCTACCAAGATGATACCATCATTGGCCCCACAGACAATTAACCCTACATTGAGTATTGAACAATTTTCGAGCCTTATGGAGGCAAGTACTATTATTATGCTTCTCTTATATGTATTTATATTTGGAAGAGCAATGTAGTAAAGTATAATTATTATTTTGTATAGCTCGCAACTAGTAATGTATTTTTTTCTAAGATGCGTTTTTTTTTAAATTTTATGTCATCGTATTTTTATTCAGATGATATAAATATTATTTTTTTCTTTTATATTATATTTTATATAGTTAATATAGGAACCTTGAATAAATTGAAATCTAGTTTGTAATACTTTAAATAAAAATTCACGAAAGCCTGAAAAACCTGCTTTGATCTTAAACAAGAATATGTTTAATTTATTTATTACAAAATAAGACGACACAGACAATTATTTCTTCCCGTACGCCTAAAACTTAACTATCTTTCGAAATAAAATTATAGAACGGAATAAGGTTTTGATAGGCTGTTAACAACAATTTCATTTCGTGCTCTACTTTCTCGAAACTGCAAGTAAATAGGCCATTATGACACGTATTAAGTGACGAATTACATGAAAAATTAAAATAACGGTTTAAATTCTCCTCTTGTTAGATTTTATACGATATGCTGGAGAACATTAATAAGTATCAGCGTGGAAAGTTGAAGTCCGAAAATGTTGCTGCTCCCAGCCCTGAACGTAGGGCCTTACGCCACCAAATTAGCACTGATAACATGAACGCACCGCCGTTTAATATACCCAACTTGCGCGTCGAACAACGCAAGACATCTAGCGCCGAAGACATGGCCCGCAAGAATTCAGTCACTGCACCCCCTCCTACTACTAGCGCAACTGGCAGCACAACCGGTTTTAAGAGTAAGGATCAAATATTGTAAACAAAAAAAAGAAATATATTGAATGTACATTAACAATAATGAAAATTTACAGGTACAGGTATTGGACAGTGGTTCTTTGGATCGAGCAATTCGACAAACAATGATAGCAACTTTTTGCGCGTAGCAAGCGTATTCCCGAACCGCCGCTTATCTGATAACACTTTAATGACACCAAAAATTAGAATTGCTCCGTCATGCGCTTCTTCCCCCGGTGGCACCCCTGGCAGTACAACTGGTTTGCCAACACGTCGTCATTCTAGCATTGGACCTCAGGAACGCCGTGGGTCTGCTGTGAACCTGTCACCACCGACAGTAAGTGCTATGCTTCGAATATGTCGTCTATAAGATCTTTTATATGCTGTTCTTAATGTATGCTGCTATATAAAAAGACGAATAAATTAGGAACGTGGTGGTACAGAGCCAACATTTGTAACGGTGAAGTGTCGGCATTATTTTGACAGGTTCACCAGTACAGGGGGCGAGGCGGGTCAGGCTCAAGCCTATCCGTGCCTTCCACCTCGCATTGCGTTGTAAGTGATGTAAATCTCCCACTCCTGCCTCGTAAAATAATCTATATACGAATTCTCTGTTGAATGTCAAAATGGAAATGCTTTTTTTGCTGTGGACTATCCCTTACTGACGTTGTGTCTTTTTCCCACATGGACGGGGGGAGATTGTGACACATATCATCATCATCTTCTCATACGTTCATCTGCACGAAACTGGTGGCGTTCGTATCAAACTCTTTCTGTCCAACCATTAAAACTTCATCATATTTACTACTACTATTAGTGTGAAGTGACCAGAATAATAAACCTTCGAGACCTACAATGTGGTGCATGGGACGCTTAAACTGTTTTGTCCACGACTTGTCATGCATGATGCCCAGCCACTTATATGTATCAAAATATTCTTTGCTGTGAGGATAGATTTTCCTGAAATAGATTCCTCTGTTGTGTTGTCTCGTCTATTCTCGGGGGACCCGCGTCGAATTTGTGTTTAAACTGTAATATTATACTTATTGGCTATATTTATAACAGAATCAAAATTCAAAATTGTTTCTATGTATTAACGATATTAAGTAAGAGATTGCAAGCATAGCTTGCACCTCTTATTAAACACGCAGTCGACTTAAACTCTGAGCTCCTTAAAGCTTGCAAAGTTTGTTTGTCGTATCAAAAAAATACTTCATTGCCATTTCACCCATGTTGTGTCTGAGACATGAATGGTTAACGCTGTCTCATTCACTGTTGCTATTTGTTCTTCTACGCAGCTTGCACGGAGCATGATCGTGAGTATGATCTTCTATTTCTTGTTTGTCGTCCATTTGCCACTTCTATTTGACTTGCAGTAAAATTGTTAATTATAGTATCATAACGATGTTGCCAGAGGCTAGTAGATAACAATACTTTTTAAAAAGAGATCTACTAGTATGCATATTTTGTAACATCTATATGTATTGGACTACTTTGAGTGTAGTTTAGTTTATATATATAATCACACACACAAAAATGTAACTTCTACACGCTTCAAATGCTGGACTAATGTACCTGTATTTTTAAGCATGCGGTAGTATCTCCTACTAATTGCTTTTAAATCCAAACAGGTGAAAAATGGTGTAAGTAATGTCATAATACTCAACATCAATTTTATTTTACACTAATTTAAATAGTATATTTTGTCTTCAACTCCCATGAACCAAAGACTTGTAAGATCACTTCGCAGCCTAAGTACATTTTTAATAAGAGACTATACAAATTTTGTTTTCGTAATTTAAGATTTACGTTTTATTCATAGGGTATCTTTAAAAAATAACGATTGAATATTTATTTCACTTACAATAAACAATATTTAATAATTTTACATAAATAACCACCAAAGCTATTATTACACAGAACGAATCACCAAAAACATGACTATCTCAATTTTTTCTCTACGCAGGCATATTTAAAAACTATAACATTTTTCAAGGGAAATAATAAAGAAAGGATACGTGTTTCTGTAAAAGTTATGAGTTAAAATAAAAAAATGTTTAGGGTGGATCGATGCCAAATACTTCGTCCAGCGTCCCATTCTTGCTGACATCATCAATGCAGTCTATTCGGTCTCGACGACCTTCAGCGTGCCTCAGCGGCTCCCAAGGCTCCAGCATCTTGCAGCAGATCAGCAGCGGCATGGTAAGGCACTTGCCGGCAGGCTCCCATTGCAATGTACCGCACGCCCAACAGCCCTGGGGGACGTTGCAGGGCGCCACGTCAGCCGGCTACAGCGCTTTGCGGCACACGGCGATGGCAGTCAGGAAGTGCCCCTCACTTAATATCACTCTAACGCGTTAAAGCGGTTTGGCCGTTCACTCGTAACCGACGATATGGCGCCCTACATACCGATCAGCAATATCGTCGGCGTACAAGTGGAGAGGCAAAGACGTCGCACCAACCGGTCATCCGTATCCGTGCGACGCTGCTATTTAACCAACTTCGCATTCATTCTATCAATTAATGAGTATCTGTAGTTGCAGTATCAGTGTTGTAAACATCACACTCTTAGTTTCATTTAGCATGGGATGCTTAAACTATTTCTCCTAAGTCATTTTAATTTACATTGTAAGACTGATTATCAAAAATGTTTAGTTTATTTACAATCTATTTTTATTTGTTTCAAAAGTATGTTGCTTAAGAATGACGTGGATAAGTAAGCTTTAATTGGTATAGTGTGGACACGTTTATTTCCATCAAAACAAAATATAATGAAATGTCCAATTATATTAAAGTATTAGAAATTTTAATAAATTAAAAATATATAAAGATGTTACCAAAGTAACGGTATATAGCCACCTGTTGGGTATGGTGCTGTGATATGGTATTGTTATATGCATTAGAAAATATATTTACAACATCTTCTGTTATTAAATATTTGTTCGAATTTATATATTTATTATAAAATTCAATATCAACTAATCTGTTAATCTTAAACGAACTTGATAAAAAACTGCCGATCAGAGGCTTCAATAAATATGTATAAACTTATTAAGCAACCATCACAAAACGTCTATATCACTTATTAAAATATTTTTATTTTATTAAGACGAGAAAATATTTAATTAAGTCATCTATTTTCTAAATATAATTATAACAGAATTAATAAAATACATTTATTTAAAATATAATATAATAGTATAGTAATGTAGTATATAATATTTTGGATTGTACAAATAATGCCATTATCATTATTTACATTTACGTTTTCAGTCAATAAAATCTTTCGTTTTATTTCACATTCGAGTATCATCTACTTACATTTTTTTTATTTAATATCATTTTAAATATTTAAGTTTCGAAAACCAAAATTAATTATGACATGTTTGCTTTATACTTAGAGAAATGTTATTAGCAGATAACACTCGCTTCCATCCTTATTTCGACACAGGATCTTAAATTAACTTTATCATACAGCTGTAAATATGAAAATGTTAAGGTTCCTTCAAGATTGCATAAATCAAACTGTCAAAGTTTAAAAAAGTGTAAGTGGGTACGGTTTAAAAGATATTGTAGAATCTGGCATCCCGATCAGTAGCGCAGAGTAAAATGCTTTTAGTTTTGCCGTGTTCAGTGTTTAAAGTATTTCAACTAGGACATTCTATCATGTTAGAAGTGTAGTATCATAGCAAGCCTCGGAGCGAGCGGGCGGAACCGCGCGATTCGTCTCGCTAACCTCCAAATTTACTAGCGTTACATGGCTCGAGTTTATAATGAAACTTCATTTAATGTATTAAATTAGTTCTCAAATTAGGTTCTATTCTAAATTAAAACCAACGCATCAGAAAATTTAGTATGTACTTGTGGACTAAAAAATAATCGCATTGTATTGAAATATCAATACGGTGCGATCAACTACATAGCTTGAGCCAGCTAACGTTAATAAATCGATCCTCAGGTGAGGCGCGCTTGGGTTTTAATCAGTTATTGTGGTTGCTTCCAGCACCAGCTGTTTTCTGGACGTACGTAAGAATTTGATTAACGGGTTGGCGCTGAAGCGTGCGGCTTCCGTCGGCGCCTCGCTTCTACCGCGCTCGCTGCACTCATTCTCCATTAAATACCATCTAACACACCACATCATACACGCTTAGTGAACTCGCGATCCCTCTGCATGAACATTTAAGTTCTGTTCAAGGTACCATCGATTCTCTCACTTGCATTACCAACGCGACGGTACACACACAAGTTACGCTTATGCACGATGTTAACCACATTTATATCATACCTGATAATACTTGGGTGTATTACGTTTGAGGAAAGAAATCTTGAGGGAATCGTTATATTTTATTGAATTATATATATAATTAATTCGTTATTTCAAACTTCCACAGCTCCAACTTATTTCATATTTTCTATGAAAATTTAAAAAATGTTATACACTGTCGTGGATAAAATATATATATTTATAGGTTTATTTAATATAAAATTTCGTAGACATATCTATTATCAAACATTTGGACACGTCCCTGAAAAATGTCCTATTTAAATATTTATCCATTCAAAAAGATAAATGAAATATATTTGGAACCTAGTAATATCGTGATTGTGATTTAATTTGGAAAGGGATTATATGTAGATATAATGGTACGTTGTAAGAATATCCACAAAGTGAGAAATATATATAAGTCACATAGATTGGCATTTAATAAAGCCATAATTCTATAAATTTATGATGACTATAGATTGTTTCATATTATTATTATTAACCTAACAAATAAAACTATTGCCTTCAACATTACTATTCCTATATTAATATTGTCAGGATGTGAAAAGTTAATGTTCGTTGGAGAACGTTTAGGTCTTATATCGTGAATTCGAATGTGATGTAGTTAGTCATCCGAAGGATATACTTTCTATATAAGATTTATTTATTTATTGTATTCAAAATATTTTATTATTAAAATTTTCACTTTATAAATCTTTAAGGTGTCGGTGCCTCTATATTATAATTGTATATAAATGGTATGAAGTAAATATTTTGAAAGGCAACATACAATTTACATTTATTTTACCAAATACGACTATTTACTTTGGATGTATCATCTTCTACGGGTTGTGCTGTTTGCTCACAGTTAGTTTTTAAAAACATTTGTGTCCTTTATGAGCATCTTGTAAACCAAATACTATTAGAATCTTTTATTATATCTAGTGGTTAGAATTTACTAAATCGTGCTACCTTGTGATCTCTTTCTATAATGTCTTGAATACCATGAATCCAAGGCGGGAATATTTTCAATACCATTATTGTCGCTTCAACTTCTCGCCTTGAAGATGGGTTCTTTATAATTAATTATAAGTAGAACACTATCGACTTTGAGCTTTATCCTTTATAGGTATGGTATTTCCTAACGTTTTTATTTTATAAAAAAAAAAAAACTCAATTTTATATTATATATTGTAGGCAATATTGCATTAGATTATACCTGACTGCTATTTTCTCTACATAATATTTCTATATGCTATTCCAGTGTCCTTAGCATTTAACTCTTCAATGTATTTTAAATATAGTGAGGATCATTTGCATTACTATTGATAATTGTCAATATTGGATCTTGATATTCAATGAGTAGTGTAAACGATCTTGCGGATTTAGATCCATAAAATACATATTCATGATTAAAAGTTATTAAGGAATATATCTATTTATTAAACTGCATGTCGATGTTATTACAGTGTAATTTTAAACAATGATATCTTTGAAATTTGAAATCAATTGTGGATAGATCTGAAGTTATTAGTAATATTAATGATGCAATGTGTACTCACCTGTCGCAACCTTGCGTCCAATATTCCTGATATATGTAGAATTACGCAGTCAAAACTGCTTAAGTATTTAAATTAAAAATGACACGTCTTCTATATTTAGCACTATAAATATATTTATTACAATAATAATCAAATTATATGTATTATGTCAAAATTATAAAATAATTATACTATTTTGAATGTTTTCAAATCATAGATTTATTTTGTTGTCACTTGCCGTTCGATGTATGTATACGTGGAAGTAGGAAAATAAAAATATTAATTAGAATTGAAGTTTCATTTACTAAACCTTAATATTAATATTATTCCTTACATTATACTTTTCCCTACAGTCTTCTTAAACTTGACCCATATATAAATATACTTTGCACTTTTTTAATTATCAACATTAAATTAGCGAGTAGTGGTTCAAAATATTTTCTTTTAGTTTCTTGTACTGTCTATCTTGAATAAAACTTTCTCTCTCAAAAAGTAAAATGAATTTGTCTAAGCAGGACTCGATATTTTCTCATCGACTGTCAATTAGTGTTAAAATTTTATAAGTAGTAACCATTAAAGATTTTCTGTTATAAAAAAGATATCTATAATATTATAAATCTGGCTCTTAAATATACATGAAAAAATATTATCCGACGTTTAAAACAACATTACAATTAAAATTTGTTCAAGTCCATAATATTTATTATAAAATGAAAACCCAATAAACTATTTGTCATGTTCGTTTTTCATTCAAAAGTATTCAATTTTAAAATATTATTATATCTTCAATTTAAACAATATAGTTTACAACCACACCTGTAATTCATACTCTATTATATGTGTATTATGAATACAATTATTTAATAACATACCAATTATTTTTTTTTCAAAAGTGAGGTGCGTGGAGATTCAGCCTAAATTCTACTAATATGATAATTGCGAAAGTTTGTGAGTGTGTGTTACTTACTTCTTCACGCTCAAACGTCTGAACCGATTTTGATAAAATTTTGTATGCAGGAAGCTGACGTCCAGGAATAACACATAGGCTACTTTACATCCCGGAAAATGTTCGACTTTTCCTCATATAAGCGAAAAACCATATTTACTTACTCGAGAACTCAACTCCTAGCCAAAACGACATTATCGCTATGTACCTTTTACCGGTATATGTAGGCACGATCAACAGCCAATAAGCATTCATTTCGTTAAAAAAAAAGATTTATGATAGACAATATAGTATTGCCCCATGTGTAATAAATATTACCAATACATTAACTTAATACACAAGGAGTTACACACTGACGGAGTCGCGGGCACAGTTATCTATACTTTTCTGCCGAAAGTCACTATTCCACGCGGACGAAGTCGCGGGCAAAAACTATTATTTTCATAAAAGTTTATTCAATGAATAGGTAGGTAGGTATTTTTCAAACAATTTTATTCTGTTTCAACTATTTTGAACTTCGTTTCTTAATGACCATTTTAATATGAGATTTTCAAATTGTTTAAATTGACGATTGTTCTAGACTTTATTGTAGTTTAACTTTGTTTACTCAAGATGTTCTATAAATACACATTTGATTATGGAGTAGAAGTAATAAACTGAAAATACTGAAAATAACATATAAATAATTTGGTAAAAACCACAATTAGTTTTTTATAATTTGTTACAGAAAATATGCAATTGCATAAATTGGAACAACAACAACTCACCTCCAGATTTATTTTAACCTTAGTACCCAAAGGCACTCAGAAATGGATATGAGAGATTCAGAAGCTTACCAAATTTGTAAAACTGATATTTAAACTCTCCCGAGAAATAAAAAGTCAGAGAAGTTTGCTAGTAGAATACCTCGTCAATCCGACGGCGGGCTGTTTTCACAACTATTAGTAGGAATATAACTTTCAACCAAACCTAAAAATTACAAACAAAACCATTTCGGATTTAGTCACACTTGTGATATTGACTAGTCTAGTCTAATTTAGCAAAAAAAGGACTCCGAAAACTAAGAGTAATGAGAACAATGTGATAAAAAGGTTTTATTGTTATATTATAAAACAAAGTTGTAAATTAAGATTTATGACAAAATTTATGGTCATTGCTCGTATACCTTTCACTTGCATGTAGATAATAATTAACCAGCATAAGTTTTAAAGTACCTGATGATCAGTCATAACGTGAGAAAATTAAAACTATAGGTACTAACAGAATGACATCATTGAGTTGACTCTAAACTTGTTGCAACATAATTTTTTTAGATTGTAAAATACATACTGTAATAATTTAAATTTTTCTGACTTAAACGATTTCCCGAAATACAGAATATTTCAGTTTGTGACATGAAACTTCAAATTAAATATAACTTTCACAGCTCTGAACCCAAATTATGAACAGCTTACAAAATACTTTATTTTAAATTATAAGTGTCTATAATATAATATTAAGCACTTTGTAAGCTTTGTTTCAAAAAGTCTAATGCACTGTAATTACATTTTTAAAGAATCGCGTTCTTAATATCAACTTTAGGATTGGAGAACGATATTTCTATTTGAAAATTGGAGATTTCCAACTATACGTGTAAATCTCAATTCGAGAACGGAATATATGTAGATTAAAAAGTAAAGGCAATTCTTGAGGTAATCAAAGATCACACACAAATCCCACGGAGCAATTGCAGGACATCTTAGATGACATCTCCTATACAAACAGCTTATGCGCGCCAATGGCAAATTACTCTGTAGACTGCTAGATAAAATCCCTAATAATATTATAAATGCGAAAGTAACTCTATCTGCCTGTCTGTCTGTTACGCTGTCGCGCCTAAACCACTGATTTTAATGAAATTCGGTACAGAGATAGAGTTGAGCTTGTCAAAGCACATAGAATAGTTTTTATTCCAAACTTTTGAAAGGTTCGCTTGGAAACGCGATACAACCGAACTCCACACGGGCGAAGCTGCGGGCGGAAAGCTAGTATTTATCATATATTACTTGTATATTTTGGTTTGATGTTTTTTACACTAAGTTGATTGTAGCTGTTACACAAACGTTTTATTGTATCCATCCGTTTTATGATTCAGAGCACAAATTTAGAAAGATGAGGGTTGGTGCTAAAAAAAATAATCTCACCCTTCAAATGTCACCACTGAGTTTCGGGAGAGGCTAAACAACCTAAATCCGCCGTAAGCTATAAGAGCCAAAACCAGTGAGAGTGAAGATTATACATATCTTTGAAATTCGAAAGGAGAGAAAAATTTGAGCCCCCAGGGTAATACAAATAAAAATTATTAAGAAAACAAGAAACAAAAATAAATGTGATGTCATGTTGGGGAGAGCCAGTGTAATTGAATACCGATACGGATGATTCCAATCGAATGTCAAACAACAATACTACCTTTAGCAATGGCAATATCTCGCAACCCTCACGAAAATTTTTATACATATGCAACATACGCTCGTATTACGCACTTGGTACGTCCGCTTCTTGCTGGAACATGGAACAAATTATTAAGAAAAAGATGAAACATCACCAAGCAGATTCACATATCATGCTTAGGAAAAACACATAATATGCGGGTTCAAGGTCATTCTAAGAACGTTTTTGAGAAGACTATGTTCCTATCACTGGGTCCCGAAACAGGAACAGAAATCGAGTTGCTTTCATTTGCCAGGTAACATCGCTGTAAGTGACAGGATCATAGGAGTTAAGCTATTCAGTTTAAGATATTCATCCAACAATGTATCGCAAAATTTGATTTAGATTTATTCCCCTACGGAAAAGACCAAAGATGAAGTAAGCGACGAATCTTCTGATATGGCTAATAAAGAATTTAATATGAACTTTGGTGACTAAATACAAAAGTTAGTTACATCATATGACAATCACTTAGACTGTATATTCGAGTAAAGTCCCAAAAAAAGACTAAAGCCAGTATTTATAGTTTTCCAATACAGGTTGATACTAAAATGATGCCGTTACAACTTTGCTTTTAACTGATTGTACCAGGGTTGGCAATGTTTAAAACATTTGTTTTAAACATACGTTTAAAACACTGTGTTAAACAATACGAAATTACATATCACGTTTAAAACATAATTAAAAACAATTTGTTTTAAACATGTTTAAAACAGTTAAAAAAAACACATTATACTGTGTCTTTCTTAACTTTTTCTAACTAAAAGTAGGTATACTTTTAGTTAAAAAAAATGTGATACTTATTTTATAATTATTATGGTATGTTTATTACCAAAGAGTTGGCAACTTCGATATAACTACCTGGGATTCCCCTGGCTGGCGAGCGGTAACGCGGTCAATGAATTTTTTTTAAAGTCTTAAGTAATTGTACACATATATGGAAAGATTTACTCTCATCGGACTAGTTGCCAGAAGAAGCAGACAAACTTAAAGCAAGATTTAAAGCTGCAATGACACCTGCACATTTCGCTCCTTATATATTAGACCCCAATTATAATGGACAAGGTCTGTCAGAAGAGGAAGACACAATAGGCATGGAGTTTTTAGATTCAAGCTGTCCGCATGCCATGGAAGATGACCTGACGTACCGTGCGAAGAGTTATCCTTTTTTAAAATACATGTTTAAAAAGAACTTTTATTGAAAACGCATGTGTCTGTGTGGTGGAAATCAGGGAGCATTCAAGTATTGCGTAACGCAATTTTCGAAGATTTTCGACTCCCCTTCCCCCCTCGTAAAGCACAGTAACGTTTTTCTGTAGCCCCCCCCCCTTTCTCAAAACGTTACGTAACACTCAAGTGATCAATTTCATCCAAAATAGTAAAACAATATGTAATAGTTTGGTATAGTTTTAATCCATTAAATGAAAAAAGATCATTGATACAAATCTTCTTCTGAAGAAATTACAGTATGAACACTATGAACTCACGGATAAACACTAACGAATACTGACCACGGAAGCAACATTAAAGACTTACAATGCAGTCTAGGTATTCCCCGTAAAATATCAATTAAGAGGTTTGCAAACTTGGAATAACAAATAAAAATATGAACCAGACTAATACAATCTGGTCAACATAATGTAACGTATATGAAAAGAGTTGCCAGTTTGTGGGTTTTTATTAATGTTTTTTTAGAAACAATGCTACGTAACGTTTTGTAAGAGACACCCCCTCCCGACCCTGTAACGCATCGTAACGTTTTACAAGACCCCCCTCCCCCAAAATTGCATTACGTAATACTTGAACGCTCCCTCACTGGGTAATAAAGTGGATCCAGGGATGTTCAACATTACGTCTCAGTTATTTACTGCAACTGCTTCTTCCGCAGAAATTGAAAGGTTATTCTCAAAATTCGGACTGGTACATTCAAAATTAAGAAACAAGCTCGGGACAGAGAAAGCTGCTAAATCATTGCAATTATGAGGGCTCTTAATCAAAACAGTTCGCTTGAGAAACTTCAGATCATGGAAGTTGAGGGTTGAGTTGAAGAATAAGAGAAGGAAAGTTGATTGAACTTGATTGCATATAAACTTTGATAATAAGAATAATAATTATAATTACAATAAATAAAGCACTTTTTGTCTTTTTAGATTTACTTGATTTTATTATAGAAACCACGGAGTTAATTGAACAGAACATATTCACTGACTTATTAGTAAAAAGGTGAAATAAAAGACAGAAGATGTCCTTAATTATTTTATTTTTACTTATGTGAGACACATGAATAAATTTTACTTACTATCTTTTTAAAAAGCAAGTGACAACATAACAGCTTTATTTGATGTAAATCTAAAACTATATATTCGTCTAGTATAGATAAGCATAATTTGAATCGAAATTGAAGTCATATCGACATCGTCACATTTCATAATAAAATGAAAATATCATTTATTAAGTACTAACAACATGTAGAAACTTAATATTTATGAAGTACCATATCAGATAAAAAAACGACATTTCGCAAGCATACGATATCCGCAAATGATAATAAAAATTCGCAAATTAATTTTTTATACATTAATAAAATAAAAATTAATAATATTATAATTACACCATAATTTAAATAATAAATTTCATTGAGCTCGAAATATTTAAAACATCGATACTATTCTATCATATATCAGAATATTTAATAATTATGAAGGATATATTTCCACTAGAGAAATTATAAAATGCGGAAGATTGGAACGCCCATCGTTTTATTAAGAGAATAGGATAATAATATCATAAAGAATCCTCGACTAGTACAAAAAAAGACAAAAATATTTCCGTGAAATATTTAAGTCAGCTTTAAGTACTATGTTAGGCCGGCGATTTGCATTACAATTTTCCGCAACTAACGTACACCCTATTCTATATACTTCAATATATTTGATTGATATACGTATGACTGAATGGATCACGTCCATCAAAAAACACTACAGAACTATTTTTTTTTTCTTTCATTATTTAAACATACGGACAAATATATTTTGTAAACACAGATGTAATTATAAACTAAGGGGATATCAGGGTTAGGGAAATATTGATATGTCGACCTAATGTGACATTCAAACGATTTTATAATCATCAATAGACAAAGTATTTTCAAATATCGATTATGCATCAGATTACGGGAACATGTTTATCATTAATACATTAAGATCAAATTGTACGTACGTACGACATATATAAGAAATTGTTAAGTTAACATTCATATAACATGTAGTGTTTATAGTCCATGTACGCAACACGATGCCACTTATGTCGAGCAATTTCCGCCTTAGGCTGTCCCTGATACTAACTTACACAAACATATATTAATGGGCGACAAGTTAAAAAGTTAAGTTTAAAAAATATATATAAGAAAAAAAAGATAAATAATAAACTTTTATACAGACCGACCGATTTAGGATCATACGAAACAGCTATGGACGTCTGACTTTGACCCAATCGTATATTATAAAGTAAATTTTGATATATTATTCCATAAATATAATTATTATGACAATCGACAGGGCTTCGATACATATTATTTTTAGTGCCAATTCATATACATATAATAATACCCTGTCCACCCGCTTCTTATTTTATACACAACTTTCTTAAAATGGTCATCAAAAGAAATAAAACGGTACATTAGCTATACCATACATCAGTCCATTTGTTGATGTATTTTGAAGAGAAAGTTGAAAGATGAGAATAGATATCTCTTTACAATACAAATGACTGTTTGTTTCAATATTATATTGTGATGTTTAACTTTTTAACTTGATACCACCGAGCTAAATAATGATGCCGAATCCTTTTATTAATTAGAGCTGCTGCGTTCTGGCGACTTTCGCGTACTCGTCCTGAAAGATACATATGAATTGGATATTAGACACAATATAAAATACATCAAAAAGCATGAGAGACTTCGTGCTATATAGTACTATAGACTGCTATGTAGTATTAAAAGTACAATTTATAACTAATATTCAAATTCACGAGTTTTATTCAATAAAATATATAAAACTCGCGAAAATCTCAGATCTCATTATGCGACATTCACATCTCGTCTGCCCGTGATCACTGTTGCTGAAAAGTAACAGAAACGTCGAGAGTGTAGTTTTTTACGAAAATAAAGCACGCGTAGTATATAAAAAAAAATTAGTTTTATTTAATACATTACCTGTTCTGGCTGAGGAAGCGTGCAGTTTCGACGAACCGGAACGGCTCGTAATCTTCGGAGGCAGCTGCACGCTCGCGGGCGATGCATCTCATGTGCTCACGGAACGCTGCTCTCAGCTCCTCGCCTTGGACGCTGCCAAGAGACGATACCTCGCTCATGCTCTCTGGAACACAAATACATTTGTTAGAATAACATAATAGATATAAAATTCAATTAAATATGTGTATATTTTACCAGCAATGAACGCGTTTAGTGTCGTAGGTGGTCGCGACTGTCGAACGCATCTGCGTTTCTTGGGCGGCATGCCCGAAAGGTAGGCATCACTGTAGGGCTCAGCGGTATCACGCTGTTCCTGCTCCTGAACATCACGGGTGAAAGTTGGCACCCATTCTTCGCCCCAATGTTGCGCTATCGACTCAGGTGGTACCTACAATATATTCGAAATAAAACCCGCACCAACCATAACTTTGACAAAACAAACACGATACGACATCCATCTAAACTGTAACCAAATTTTTCATATCGGGTAACAACGTTACTGCCAATCGATCTCATATTGCCGTCTGATGGTGTTTTATGTATATGATCTAATGCACTTTTTGATGTTACGGCATGAAAATTCACATATAATTTGAATGCTTGTGATTTTTTTATTGATATTTACACTTAGTGAAGCGGTGGAGCAGTATTATTTGTTATATTTTTTATTCATTATAAACCGGAATTTTCTGTATAGGCTCTTTGTTGCAACTAAGAAAGCAAAAGCTGTTACCAAACACGACAACGTTAAAAACTATTAATCTAAAATCGCACTGTAATGACTTTCTATGAACATAACTTTAAATACACGACTTTATTTGCCTTCAATGCAGTGCATTATCTCATTTTTTTTCTGTAATTTATATCAAAATACAATTCGCACTACTACAAGCTGCCGAAAATTAAAAATATATCACAGAATTTAGCTAAGTTTTTAAAAGCACGATTATATTAATAAATTATTAAAATCAATAAATCGATGCAAATCAATATATGTATAAGCAACAAGCGTCGTCATATACACAGCCAAGTTGACAGAAAACCCCATCATTTACATGGCAACCATGTTAAAATTTTGACAAACCCTCTTTTGGATACAGATATATCAAATTGAAAGAAAAACATCGAATGTAAATATCGAGTTGTTATTACCTTAAGGCCAATTACAGCCCTCCTGTTACGGGCAAGCTACTATATAGAGAAATAAGTTTATTTTAATATCATATTAAAATAAACTAAATTTTGTTAATTAGTCGTTATAAAATTTCCTTCCATATGTACAAGACATTCTCGATTAAAATTACACTGTTTTATATTTCAAAAAAACTGTTTGGTCTTCAACAAAAAAGTCTAGTAACTTACGAAGTGATATTAATACTGAAGCTAAATCTTATATAATTTTGATAACGCAACGCTATATTTAATTCTGCTTTTCTTCATGTTTTGTTGTAGTTTGGGAAAAAAATAAGTTGACAGTTTAATTTGAAAAACAAAGTTTTATTAAAAAAGGTCTCTATAAAAATAATAAATACACATGGTTTTTTTTTAGCATAAGCTAATTTTCTTCTTGAATCGTCCACCATTATCTCAATTGAAGAACCAACACTAGTCTCCTAATCACTCTGCATCGAAAAGATTTCGATAACAGACGTTTACGATTTCTTGATGAAATCTTCCAACGTGTTTTCACAAACTTCTCCCAAGTTCCAAGTGAGACTTCAAGAGTTCAAGTTTCACTAACATTCTAAACCCTTTTCCTAGTTTCTTGATAGTTTTCTTTATATTCTCACTTTTTAAAATTCTATAAGTTTTCTTAATTTTTATTCTGTTGACTTGTTTTTCGATGTTTTTGAACTACTTCAAGACTCTTAACCCGATGTCACGTAATTTCGAATTCGCTATCTTTCTTTATTACACACAATCTTTTTCCAATACAGTTTTCCTAATATTACTTTTATTGCTATTTATACTAAGAAATTTTCTGAAGATTATTACGTTTAGCTGCTGCACATTAGTGTCTGTTGGTTGAATACGTTTTAAGACTCAATAAGAGAGTCGCAGTAAAATATTTTTTAATTATATCTTAATGTCTCTCTCTCTCTCTCTCTTAAACATATAAAAAATGTTAGCGATTCTGAAAAAACCAACCTTTTTTTTATTAACTCTGTACTCTAAAAAATCCACTAATTTGACACTTTTTACGTCTGCAGCTTTTTTCATATGGTGGTATAAGTAGATATTGGGGCTCTTTTATTTCCCTTATGTACTAATTTTGCTACAACTCCACTAACAAATCCTAACCATTGGTCACATGTTTAGCACATAAAATCTTCATTAATTTTTACCTTCATTACTTCTGATAGAAGATTACACTGTTGCAATTGACCTTTAAAGTTTCAGCATCTTATTTAGACAGTTTAAAAGCACTAAATAAATAAAAGTTTCGTAAGCGTAAGCACTAAGTGCATCTATCTTCTGACCACGGCACAAACGAAACTTCAGTAAAAAAGATTTTGCACCAAAATTTAAATCTTTTTTCACGACAAGAAGAACTTGAATAGACTTTTACTGTGAAGAACAAGTTTCGTAGGCGAATATGTATCAGATTAAACAATAATTACTCAATTCCTCTCCAGAAACATGTATAAATTTCACTGATCACTCCGATTTTTTTAAAATAAATATACACCTAAATAGGTGTGTATGTGAGACAAACAAAATCAAATTAATAGGCGAATTTAACACAACCACGTTCAAAACAAAAAAACCGACCCATGAATGCGACGTGAGAATAAGGAATGAAACGTAAAAGATTACATATAATAAATTTTCAAGTGTCCTCAAAAACAAAGTGAAAAAATACTGTTTTGTATGTAACATGACCAAACACAGTGTAATTTTGATTTTGTTTTTTTACAATTTGAAGTTAGTATATTAGCAATTGTTAATCGCAAATGAATTTCATGAATATATGGTGGCAAAATATTTCTCAAATTTGTGATAACTTGTGTTAGTGATGATGTAACGGTCTTATTCATAAAAAAATGTGTTTTCTTACAAACTAATAAATAAACTTTTATAAGATAATTATCAATTCATAAATCTATACAAGTACAATAATAATACTATAACTCAAATAAGGCTCCATCTTATTATAGAGATGTAAAAAATCTATTTTAACGCCAGTCACTTGTCTTGCCACTGTCTTTGAATGTCAATTTGCCTTCCAATTAGTTTTGGCTACCTTTTCTATCACATTATCATAATAGAGCCAGATCCTAGGACAGCCAGACGTCAAGTATTTTCTGATGGATGAAATGTGGAGGATTGAGTAGAATAATTACCATGATCGTATGCCTGCCTGCTATCTTGGTGAAACGCCTAATTTCCAATTAAACGGCCAATTTAAAGTATCTGACAAGCAAAATGGCCGACGGAAAGTGTCTGCCAGTATTGCTAATTTATTTTTGACTATACATTTTATAAAATAAGTAACGTTTTTATGTACTTTATCTTCTGATACCTGGAAATTGGCCGTTTGACCAAGCTAGCAGGTAGCCATACGACTATAGTACATACTTACTCTACTCAATCGTCCATATTTCATCCGTCAGAAAATACGTGACGTCTGGCAGTTCTGGGATCTTGGACTATAACTAATGACAATGACCTCAAAAGACTTGACCAATCAAAATATTCTACAGCGGTGTCAGCAAAATTATAATATATAAAGAAAATAATAATTGTCTCTAATAAGATTTAATTTTCACGGCAAAACATAGTTTTAGCAAGGAAACAAGTAAGCTTCTAATTAATTCGATAAAAACAGAGCTATGTTAAAGTTTTCGGGTCAATTGGCGTGTCACCCGTATGCATTTTAAATTTGCATCGTCAAAAAATATACGAAGAGTCGCCAATTTCTCATTCAGTGGCCCACCTTACGACTCTAATGAGTAGATTTATGGATGAGAAACTATTAAAATTGAGTGACGATGCAAGTTTAGAATAAGCATACTGAGCTGTAAACCCTTGATTATGTATATTGAACAATTAATTAGTGCAAGAAAGTTATTGCTGCTATGGATTCTGTACTAAAAGTAAGTAGACCGAAATTGGTGGAATGTATTGGAAATTAGGAATCTAACCTTCATTCCACGTTGTATAAATATAAAGTGAAGAATATTATATTAAAATGAAAAGTAGGTAACCAAGAAAGACGAATTAATTTACAAAAAGATGTAAAAAAGAGAGCGAATGCGAACAAAACGCCTTCTGTCACGATATGCAGGTTACTGGCACAGAAAAATCCTCTACCGTTGATAAAGTTTTCATGATTGAAGAACACTACAATAGGCACAATGGTAAGGTGTACGCTCATATTGCTTGAAGCTGCTCAAGTGGTCCTAAAGTTACAACATCATCCTGCGTCATTAATGGTTTTATGGGGCGTCTTATCAAGGTCACAAAACTACATTTTTGTGAAAACTCCTGTCAAAGCGTATCAAGTCTTGAATCACGTAGTGAAACCTCTCAGAGAAAAACTTGACCAATTTAAAACCTATATCAAATACAAAGGTGGCCATTTCGAATAGAATCTTTATTTTTTATGTAGATATAAACTTTAGTTATATTACATTATATCATTAAATAAAATGCATTTTTATTTGTAACAGTACTTGTGGCTGGATTTTTTATCGGTTTTGAAATCTGTTTTTTTTTCGGCTTTTATGGTGTGTACATATTTGTTCTCATGGGCATGTAATATTTTCTTCACCAAATGTCATATTTTAGGAATCCGCTGTAATTTTTTAGGAATTTTAGAGAGCATAATCCTTTAGAATAAATGGCATAAAATATATTAAGTTTTTTTAATATTGATATTAATGTACCAAAGGTAAATATTATACTTTTCTCTTTATATTCCCAAAAAGTCCAGCAGATTGTCTATTATGAGTTTTATTGAAGGTTTAATAAGGCCGTTGACAGAGATTTTAAAATATGTATAATTTTTTATAAATATGTATTACAATTACCACTTTACATTTGTTAAATACAAATAGTTTTAAATCTTTTTAATTTATACTCATACAAAATGCAAAATACTTATTTCAAAAACAGTTTATCCAAATAAAATAAAAAATTATTCCTCAGATTTTTCTTCTACCAGTCCACAAAGATCTTCTTTTACATGCCCACAATCATTCATAGTGATTCACAAAATTAGGTAAATCTAAATATATTTTTAATAAAGTAATATTTGACCGTTATATTTTGTAAATAATAAATATTTATTTATATAGTATTTCCAGATGCATATTTTTATAATTTATTTTTTTATAAGATATTTTTCGAAAAATAAAACTATCCGAAATGAAAAATATAAAAAGTATTTTTCATTTTGTATTTGTATTACAAATATTCAATGTATCTCTGGTAGTATTGAAGCTTGTGTCGCCTTTAAACCTTCAAACATTTTTTTATGAATAAGACCGTACGGGTTATATTAATTTCATTTCATCTGACCTCAAACTGTAACTAGAATAAATACTTACGAATAATCCAGAGGCATCTGGCTTAGAACCAGAGCCAGATTTGTTAGCTCGATTCACCCTGAAAAAAAAAATTTATAAATTTATAATAAGATACCAAATGCAACTTCTTTCATTTCTTTCATTGCATCTGTTTTTATAACAATAGTATAGGAATTATAAAGTACTTTATTTCAAAGACTTCATCGTTTTAAACTGTTTTATAAATTAATGTCATCATTACCATATCAAAATAATAGTGACTGTTAATCTGTTCTGGCCAATTGTTTTTAGCGTATCGAAATAATTTATTGTATAAGCTATTTGTTTTCCCATAAATGAATGAATAAATGAATAATATAATTACTTTCGGTGACGTAAACCACTTGTTACTCTGGGTGCTCCATATCTGACGAGTGTGACATTCGGTGCAGTCTGGAGCGGTGTCGTCGGCTGAGCGAGCTGCTCTCTCGGCGTAGACGTCTTTGGGAACCTTGAAGGCGTCTTCTTGTTTGAATTCTTCAATGTCCACGGCTTCCGTGTTGCTCCAAACAAAACTGGCGAGAGTGAATCTACTCTCGATGAATGATGTCTCCTCGACTCGTCCCTTCTGTGCTGGTCGCGAGATGTTTCGCCCTTCGGTGATTGGTCAGACGAAGATTCGTCTTTGGGCGACATATCCGACGAGGATTCCTCCTTGCAGGCAGCGCTGACGACTGGTATATCAGATTCCTCTGAATCAGCATTATCATCACGTGGAGACATTGGCACTGGCTCAGGCCGAGGCGACACGTCCATTGTAGTCGGTTCATCCATCATCACGATCGCGGCCTGTATAATAAAAAATATTAAGTAAAACATCTTCAACGCAGCGATCGTCTTTATTTTCATGTGAATTGCATATAATGTCTATAATACAGATGTTGATGGCTGCTGTTCCTTGCGACGAATGAACTGTTGGAAGTGTAGCCTGTTATGTTCAATGCGGCAGATAGCAGCATTCAAGTTCTCCATCGATAAGCTGTAGAGAAGATCACGTACTGGTTCTCCAACATTCTGGAGCAACTCCGTCTAAAAATCACATGAGAAAATAATTATATACATTTATTATAATATGCGAATTCATGTTTTCATTACGGACAAAAACCACGAGAACGTTAAGAAGCAATATCAAATAAGCACCAAGGATTAACTACATTTTTTTTAATTAATAAGTCTTTACCAAGAAAGAGCGGTATATCTTTTTAAGACCCTCTACGCCCTCCAAGCAGCAGTATGAGATGACTCCACATAGTTCATAGAAAAGCCTCGGGTACACGATCCGGAAGCGACGAGAAAATACTTCATTGTTCTCAATCTCCAGCACCGTCATAGCCTCATTCAGGAAACGAAGGAACACAGCCTTCATTGAAGCAGTGACATCCACGTTGGGACGAGTCGGGGTTATAGCAGTCTGTAGAAAATTATTTCACATATTATGTAGGCATTCCCAAATACAAACCCTGAATGAAATTATATAACTTTAAGTAATTTAAAGATAATTTAAATTATTATTCTGATATATTTCGTCAATTTAAATAATAACAATCGAGAACACCACCAGGTAATGGAGAGTGATATCAATAAATCCCATATACCTATTTTTTAATTCAATATACTCACAACGCGGTTAATAAATTCGGCGTGGCGCTCGAATATCAGATCAGCAAGGTGGGCTTGTGTGCCAACTTCGTACTCGCCCTGCATGAGTTCGCGCATGTAAGCTTGGAGACGATGACGCAGTGGTTGCAACTCATCCGGGACTAATGTACGACCCCCAGTGAATGATATGGCCTCGCGCTGTTTGATACGTAATATTATTAGTGACTATTACATGTTACATTAGCTATTTATTCTATTCTGAAAACAGATTTCTAGTGTAAACCCGCATAATTAAACTACTTACCAGGGTAACCATAGTAGCTATCATAAGAGACTCTTCATTAATGGCGCTCCGATCGAAACGTTCGTATAAGGTCTCCACATTATTCTAAAAATAAATCAATATAGTAATTTTGCGCTACGGGAAACTTGTTTAAACATAAATTTGACATTCAAAGTAATTTCTCGTGCTGACTTCTTTAATACATACTAAAGAATATTTTACTCTTATTGATTAAACTACATATATGAAAATTATATTTCCTAAGTCGTTTACTAAGGAACTGTAATTGTTACTTAGAATGGTTGCCTATTTAATTTCAATCAGATGCAGATACAGAATACTAGCGCTTAAGAAGAATTAAACAATCAACACTGTATTAACTAAAACCTCAATCAAGTTAACAATAAGACTTATTTAGTATTTACATACCGAGCGTAGTAGCAATATATAGGTCAGTATTTACGAAAAGTACAAATATATGACTAACCTGCACGCGTTGACTGTTATCGTCACGAAGCAGAGGTCCTCCGGCCAAAGAAGTCTCCTCACTAATAGTACAAAATAATTGAAATTAAATAAATCGGAGGAATTTTTTTAGTTGAAATTATATGTAAGGGAATATTTAAAAAAAGCGTTCTGATTTAAATATAATATGAAGTATTATGTTAAATATATTACCGGCGGCGTGTTAGCTGACGACGGGCGTGATGACTGTCGCATTGGAGGAATCTGTCGTATACCAAATTGTTCAAGGACACTGTCTGACCGCGAGCTGTGTTCGTGTTCGTGCCTTGGCGACGACCGGTGACTAAAACACAAAAACATATATTAGTAACAGAATAAATACTATACAACTAACATACTTGTTACTTCTATGATAGTTGTATTAATAAATACGTAACCATTCACCTACCTTTAGTCGTAAAATAACAAGCCATCTGTTATGCAATATAAATGAGTAGAAGCCTAAAATTATATAAATACGTACCCGGTTGTTGAAGGCAGTGGAAATGACGGATTTAATGAAATGATCGAAAAATAAGACAACTTAAATAGACACATACATGACGGATACTTTCAAAATAAACTGTATAAATTGAATCATGCAAAGAAGTGGTATGCATGCTGGATTGACATGCAAACATTAAAAGCCGAATAAATTTCACACGTATAACATTTAACGAGCCTATCTCAAGAGTTATCCGTCAATACTGTCCAATGTGAACGTGATTTTGTTTCCATGTTAGTCAGTTAGTTTTACGCGGGACACATCTTTCTAATACATACATAGCCTTGGAACGCGTCGCGTACTAGGATTTGTATTTTGTTCTGTATTGGGCTGATTCTCTTGAGATTGTTCTTGAGCTGGTGTCTGGTTTTGGTCGGGTTGTTGAGGCGAGGCGTTGTCTGCCTGCATTGGAACCTGACCTTCGCCGAGACCTTGACCTGGCACATGGGCCTGTTGCACGTGGGCGGTCATGGCTCCCTCCATCCCAGCAACCAGACCCTGCCTGATAACTGAGGACACGATGTTCTGCAACAGATCTGCGCTCGGAGCTGCCTGATTAGCAGCACCCCACGGCATTTGAGCGAGATATACTGTGGAAACGTGGAATATATTTAATACCTTCAGAATACAAATCAAAATGTGCCAAAAATACTCAAGCAACAACAATATATATTTGGTTACAGTAACGATCTACACTTACTTTGTGATCCGTACAGAGGTTGGTTACCTCCCACTCCCACTTCTGGTTGCAAGTTCATAGATGGAATTGCGGCAGTGAAAGTACCATTTACCGGAGTGATCTCTTCCATACTCATAAGTACTTCAACTCCCCTAATACCGCCGGGTTGTCCCAATCCCCTAAACAGACTCTCAAAATCTACAACAAAAAGTACCATAATAATAACGACGACAATCTACTACGTACAGTGTAAAAATAAAAAATAAAAACTTGTTTGGATAATTGGTTCGTATCAAGAGTACAAAATTAAAAGGAGATAATATTAGGGAAGTCACAGAAATCATGCAAAATGTTCTACAGATTCTTGAACTAAAGATTTTAAAGACCATTTAGACATTTAAAGTTACATCAAAATCACACACAGAACAGAACACCATACGAGCAGTTTCACAGCATTCATTAAATATTAGCCGGCAGTGCTCTTAATATACAAAGACAATATTAGGATCTTCTAAGTGTTAACCAGTATAACATATTACATGTATAAATGCTATTTCCCTTAAGAGATCCATTAAGTGCATCAGAATGGGTGTCAAAAGCTGGGTGAAGTTTGAATGTTATCGTATAAAGCGGTTATTGCGACTCCTTTGCCTTCATGACCCATAATAAATGTCTTACCGCTCATAGCTTGCGGGCGACCGCCCAGATCCTGACCATCCTGGCTCGGCATTTGTTCGTTCAGGTTTTCAGCCGTGGCTTCAAGCGGAACCCTGGTTTCTATTTCTACTTGGTAGGTAATAGGATCTGGCTGTATATCTATATTGACGGTCGGGTTACCGGCTTGTGAACTGCTGGGTTGCGGGCCCTCGGTGGACGGACCCGCGCCGGTCGATGAAGTCGCGTTTGTCTGACGACGGTTAGCGGGTGTTTGCACAACGTTAATGTGCGCCTATAGACACACAGATATTTAACATCATTAAAATACGCGTCCATTTAACTCTCCATCACTTGGGAGGATTTTCTATTAAAAAACTCACCTGCAACGGCAAAGGATGACGCATCAGAGCCTCCGACATGAGACGAGAGTTGCGGTGAGCCAACATGAGTCCAATATCGCTCACGACGTGGTAAGCGTGAGAGAAGCTATGGTACAACTCAGCGGCCAGATCAGCAGTGCGCTGACGACGCTGGAGTACCTCCTCTGTCAGTTGGACCTGGTTGGAATTCCTTCAGATTTATTTCTATACTAATAAACTTTAACATAACATGCAACTAAAGTTCGTCAATTTAGATATTTTTACGTCCAACATTAAGACCGATTGCTTTAAGATGAGCGTAAATAAAGAGGATTTTAAATCTATTTTTATTTCTCGACTTCAAATAACATACAATTCTGGATAGAAATATACTCCTTTCTGAAGACCTACTCATTTTGGATTTTCTTCAATTTATAGTTGGTCTAATTTAATTTCAATATACTAGTATACTCACATTCGAATCGCTAGCTTCATTCAGCGTCATGATGTATGCCTCCCTGAAGGGAGTGAACTCATTATGCAACTCGTGGAGCTCAGCCACGAGCCGGCCGAACTCTACAGGAGGGGTGTGATAAGCTGCCTGAGCTTGACGAATCCTATAATATATTTATATAAAATAATTCTTTTTTACTATGTCAATAACTAATTTAATTACTCATATCAGTATTTTTTTTTTAATTACCCCTAATCCCATGTTTAATTGAAGACAATCTTTTAACGAATACTTTTCCTAGCCATATATATATAGATTAAAGTATTTTTCATATCCGTAGGTTGATTTGTTTTTAGAGTCTTGTTTTTGCAAAGGAATTTGAACTTATTTAAAAATATATAGTCTTTAGTCTCTGTGTCTGTCTTCGCGTGTGTGTATCAGATTTGGATGTAGTCTTTTCATTTTAAAACCAGTTTTCTTGCGATGGTTTGTTTTTTTAACATAAGTCCAAAATGTAAGAATATCAGCTCATCCCAAAATAGTGAAAGGCATTTATTTTGCGTATCCTTAATAGAAAAATTGTTCTTCTCGCACGCCAGTGTCATAGTTAAAACGGAAATAATTGTAAGAGAAATTTTTAAAATACAATTTTAAATGAGTATATTGACAATATTTCAAAACGGTGAGTGCGTAATGTTCTCTTACAATTTAAGTTTATATATAAATGAGATCAAATCTCTTCATGAACTTTGCCCTTTTACCAATTTCGCATGCGCAAACTCTATCACGATCAATGATTGTAAAACAATGGGCTGCTGCGCAATTTCTGCATAATCACCCACCCTATGTTATCAAAAGCCCTTCGACACTATTGCAATTCTACATACGCATATCTTTATAAGGAATGTTTACGTCTATTGAATAGATCATTAATTAGAACAGAAAGAATTGATGTTTTTTCTTTTTCACATTATTTTTCTCAATTCAACAATATAGGATACTATAGTCATGTTATCTTTTTTTTGGACTTTTGAACACATTAGCAATTTATATATTCACAGGCATTTGAGATAATATTGTAATCTTTTGGATATCGCCAAAACCGTAAACCTTCTGAAACGCAGACACTTATATGTATTCAAATGTTAGTTGCACCGCTAAGAATATAAATACGCATAAAATATAATATCTATTTGAACTTGTTATTTAATTCCAGCGGGTCAAAAAAGAATTTTTCCTGTCATGAATAACGTTATTTGAGTAGAAAAAAATCACATTTAAAACCTTTTCAACTGACAGATACATATAACAGATATAGATATTACATTATATCAAATGTATGTACAATTGACTTACCTGCGTCCGCGACCCTCGCGGGTCCCACCGGTGCCTTGATCGAGCTGTAAGAAATTATGTAAATTAATTTTATACAAAAAAAAGAAACAATATCCAACCCAAAACCTAAACTAATCAAAACATTTGTTCCGCAATCACGTTCCCAAAAAGCCGGTTCAAACGTTCATCACATTCTTTATTTACAGTTGCATAGCACAAACTCCAAGCAGTGTTAATGTCCCATCCCATAATGATACTAATGAGGGTTAGAATGCTTTGACTTTATTTGTCCTCTTGCTGCGTCCCCATTTCTGCGTTTTATTATAAAAATTTAATATTTTCTTTAATAAATTTTATAGGTATTTATTTTTAAACGCATTAATGTTAACATAGCTTTTAGAGTTCTCGATATCGTCGCTTAGCTAATCATGTTTAGTTCTTATAATTTAGAATTTGAGTTTTTTTATTCTATACTTACAGAAATACTTATAGAAGCGACGAATACTAAAAATGTGTGAATCCTCAAAATAATATTTTGCTTATGTTTTATATAGAGATTATGAAAATAAAACACAATACCATTTTTATACCGCAAAATTTGCTTCAATTTTATCTGTTTTTTTTACTATCATATTAAAATGTATATCAAACCTACTTTAGCTATGCGACGATGTATACAGCCAAAATCAAAAGTATTTGAAAAAAATATATATTCATGAAAAGTAAAATCTATTTGTAAACTAATGTCTAAACTATAACTATAAAATATATTTGTTTGTGACTGTATTAAAACCATAAGTCAAAAGCCATGCGCATCAATTATCTACGTGGCACGGACTGGTTGATCCTCGGTTTTGACTTATTAAAAAAAAACACTGTTTACAAAGAAGGTTACATTCGATTACAGTGCATAGAATCAACCAGTCAGAACCATATAGACGCGTCTATGATCAACCTGATAAAGAAGCGGTCTTTGGTGGACTTGACACATCACCTCATCTGGCACCGAACTAGATTCTCCCTGGCTTGTTCTGGGTTCCAATGGATCGTCAGTTGAAAAAGTACGTGGTTCCTACAGGCACAATATGTCAACAATTCATATATTTAACAAGATAAATATCACCCCGTCTTTTATTTTTTTTTGCTCTTAATTTTTTCTGGTATAAATTATTTGCTGGATGGTAATAAATTTTCCAAAAATAAAATTACATAATAGGAAAGGAAAGGAATTAAAGGGGATCGATTAAATTAAACTTAAAATAAACATTGTTTTAATAAACTTAAAATAAATTTTGTTTTTGTTACAAAATAAATAATATGTAGTAATTTCTATACCACAACAACGATTGAAAAAGTATTATCTTAAATTAATTATTTAACATATATATATATTGTCATATACACGCTGTAGTATATCCCGTGTAACACCACAATATTTATTGTGTGGAGACGTGTCTCTTATAATGTTCATCTGTATAAAATTTTGCTTTAGGTCAAATTATTTAAAATTCAGCCGTGTACAGCGGCTTCAAGACTTTTCTTACATTACTCTCATTTTGTATGATAGCATCGAGGGTTGATCGTATTTCAATGATGAGACGGCGGAGGAAGTCCAAGCGTGTCCCAGTAGGAGACAGGGCGGAGCCCGGTGGCTCTTCGATCTCAATCCCATGGGCCGTTGATGCCAAAGCCTAGAGAGACATTGTTTTTATACAACTGACAACTATATAGTATAGCTAGATCCTTACAACTATGTTGTATAACATACAACTCTTACCTGTTAGACAATCGCACCTGCAGACAAATTTTTGACAAAAATATTTCTTACCATGAGGCGTCTTATCTGCTGTTGTGTAATGTGATTTAAATGAACAGCCCCATAGTTAATGGGATCTGTATTAAGATTGGTGAATGAGTTCATCCTTTCACGTTCCCTCTCGCGCTCTCGCTCCCTCTCCCTCAGGGTCTCCCGCTCTTCAAGGCATGGCGGTGCCCTTTGCACCATGTGAATCACCTTCCCATGGACATCTAAAGACATAATTATGTACATTATAATAATTATAAACGGAGTAAAATCTATGTTTGCATATACTCAAATTCCATTATTGCTTACCATAGTCAGCTAGTTTCTTTTCATCGGCAAGAACTCTGCCACAAAAAATGAGGCGCTGAAGTCCGATTTCAACCCCCATCTGCTCCTGCACTTTCTCTTTGAGCTGCGCCACTGTAATCTACAATAAAAATACAACAGATAAAATAATTATAAATATTAAAAATTACATTATTTTCATCATATAAATGTTTATAAAAAGAAAACAACTCAATACGAATCAATATTGCTATTGCCACTTCAAACATATACATAGCGAGCGACACAATTCATTGCCATCCATTGCCATTGCTGCACATTGTACATTTTCAAAATAAGAATTAAAACGGCATAATATAACAAATTAATATAATTATGAACATTTTGCATTATTAAAACAAAAAAAATCCTTTATTACTGTCCAATAATGAGTGTTATATGAGTTCAAATACTGGTAAGTAAATTTATTAAACATCTGTTTTACATTCATGATGTGATTTTGTTTCACAACATTAATATTCAATTAATGTATTTTGGGCATTTGCTGGGAAATGAAACAATAGAAGTCAATTCTGACTTTAATATTTTCATGATAAATTAAATGTAATCATTTTGCAGTGCTTATATGTATACATAGATGCATAAAATATAAGCATTGTAATTTTGTTGTCTTATTTGAATGTATTGAAGTACATTTTACTTATTTGTGCTTAAACGGGAGTATTATTAAAATTTTTCTTTGTCACTTTCAACTTCTGCTATAAAAGAGATTATGTCTCATTAAAAATGATTTAAAATAGTCAAAACTTTGATGTTGACAATATACATGAGATTGTTATTGACAAGCTAAGGCTGTTTTTCACTTTTTTTGTTACAGTCACCATTTAATAAAGGGATGTATCATATGTAATGTACAGAAACACAAAAGACAATATGGAAATTGTCTGAACGATGTACACATTTACGTTGTTAAACTTTTCTCAACAATAAACTTATCTTAATAACTATCTAGAGGAAGGTAGTAGTTTCTGAACTCACTTATCGTAAAAGTAATTATGTTACGTTCATCAAAAAGACATACAAATCATTAAGATAGCAATAAAACGGTATTAAAACAAGAAAAAATATTGAAGCAGCAGCATAAGTATTAATATAACAACCACGCCTCAGCTCTATGATACAAAAATCATTGCATCGATTTTATGGACATATACTATAAAACGGTGAGCAATCTTCAACAAAATAATATATATTAAACAATGTACTTTTTCTTACCTCATCGTCCACGGAAAACGGGTGATCCCGGGAATCTAGCGTTTTTATAGTGAATTCAATCATCTTGGTGAGAAAACATGAACAACCTCAGCAAAGTAGATGGTCGTCGCAATGGAACTATAAAACAAAAACGTTTTCTAACAAATTCCAAACAAACACACCTATTACAACATATTTAATAATGCACCCACGCTTAAACAAAGAATTTTCTAATGAAAAGATAATTTGCAATATCTATGATGGTCTGTACTCGGGTAACAGAACTATGTGATTCCATACGCAAGACGAAAATGGAGCAAAACTGAAAATGCAGTGTTGCCATGTTATGAAATTGTATTTATTAACTCGCGGACAAAGTCGGAGGATATAGTCATAAATATATATATAGAGTAATTTTTTTAGGTTAAATCATTTAAATTAAGTATTATTTTATTGTTTTATGCTATGTTTCGAAATCCTAGCAGCTTCTATAATGTAAAAATCTGATTCAGTCTTGGATAAACATTCCACTGATACCTTATTAACTTTAGCCTTTATATCAATTAACCTCGCTTATTGGTAATATTTTTTATTTACAGACAGACAAATTTATTTATTCATAAAATATTAATATTTTATGTCTTAGCAACACCATCTATCCTAACGCAAGCGCGATAATATTGATTGGCGACGGCGCAATCTAGCTCGCCCAGAATTTATTGATAGGATGTTGATATACGGTTGCATTATGTTGTGCTGTTCCTGCCTACGCAGGACCTAAATACCTTAATTCTGTACCTAGAATTCCCAGAACCCCAATCAATACTTTACAATTTGTATTGCCAGCATCTTTTACATGTTGCTAGAAATCGACATTTAAACCTACAAAATATAACAAATTCAAGTATTAATAAATTAAATAACAACAAATTCGAATACAATTATTTACTCATGATATTTTAGTCAGGCTTACATATTTTATAAATTGCATATTATTATAGGTGAATCAAATTATAATGTTACACTTCGAATTAGAATATAAACAATTACTATGAAAATAATAGTGTATTAAATAATTCATAATATGTATGTATTTGTATACAACAGAAAATAAAAATATAGTTAACCGTAAAATTAATTTCAAGGGACATATTCAGTTTCTACATCACTAGCGAGTCAAGGATGGTCTCTTTAAAGAATAAATTTATTTCTATTGTCTGGTTGAGTAAAAATAAATAAGAAGTTTCTAAATTAAGTTTCTTACAATGTTTTAATTTATATATTAAAATTTTTTATGTTCTTAATCCTTCACCACTGAACTGAATTTTTTTTTAGATGAAATCACTTATTAAAATTATTTTAATGTTTTTCATAATATTTGGTTCATCACAGGATGAAATAATTAAAGTCATCAACACTGTATAATTAAATTAGTATTTGTTATAGACTAACCTAATGTTTTTTTTATCTGTGTTTCCGTCTCTCAATTTTTCGCTCCAGATAAAAATGACTTTGACGGCAACTGATAGTTTAACGCTTATCTAAAACGGCGTTTTCTGAATTTAGAAAATATATATCTATATGCTGTCTGTATTCTAATTCGTATAAATTTTATTTATATATATTTTAAATTTTACGAAAATGGCTACTAGCAATGAAGATACTTTGCCAGAAGGATGGGAGGCCCGTAAGAGTAGAAGTACAGGTATGAAGACTTAATGTAATGGAATCACACTCTTTCAATTAATACTTATGTTATTTTTTTCAAGATACCTACTGGATGCAAAAGACATTGTTACATATTGACATATTAAGGAGTTGTATGGATGTAGCTGTTATAATACATTTTTAATATGTGTATATATATTAATTGAAACTATGGCTTTATTAACATTAAATTTGTCTAATATAATATTGCCCATGCCATTGTTTTTATTTTGGTATTAAATATTTATTTGGAAAGTGAAGTGGATGTCATTAATATCAGTGTATAGTTGTAGATCCAGGCCTAATTTGTCTGTATTCAATAGAAAAGCCTCAGGGGTGGCCTTTAGCTTAACATGAATGCTATACAATAAAAAGATCAAAGTGTTTAAAATGCTTAAAAAATCTGTTCATGTTCCTAAAACCCAACGAGACAAAACTGTGAAAGATTCACCGTGTGGGTGCCGGGTCCATCGCATTGTAGGGAGAAGAGCTTCAACAGTGCCTAGGACTTGCGACCCAGGTGTAGGTTTAAGGGTCCCCTATCTAATGTGCATTATATGCTCACCTCCACTGTTCAAGCTTCTCTCTCTACCTAACCAAATTTGAAAAGAACCTACTAGGGCTGCCTTTGACATACACTCCAAGAATGAATTAATATGAGTTCTGGACAGGCCCAAGTCTTTTAGTAGGTTATAGAGAGATTTAGCTGTTATACCTCTTGTTTCCACCTCTACTGCATACAAATTAACGGCGAACCTATTTTGTTAGTGAGCTTGTTACATTTATTGACCTTTTGATGTTATGGTCTTTAAGGATGTTGGTTTCCCAAAGCACCGTAAGCTCTATCATCACAACGCGCTTTAAAATTCGCGAATATAAAATATGTCTGGTCTGGAGGACAAATTAACAATTCTAGTATTTTTGAAATAAAGGTGTGTTAAAAATTTATGCATCAGGTTAATAAAAATTGTGGGTGGAGTCCCAGCTTGGATCTATTGAAACTTTGTAGTGTGAAAGTTAAAAGAGGAAGCGGTAGAAATCAAGTTATAGTGAATTCATACTGTTTCTTTGAGATAAACTTTATAAATATTGCTTATGATTCATAATTGACCCATTCATTTACTCTCGCCCCATCTTCTTCACTCCGTTCTGTCTCCGTCTCCCCAGAAATGGTGAACGTTCAAAACTAACTTGTTTGATATCACATTAAAAGATTGACTTCAAAAATTTAAAAATACAAGCATATGAATATAAAATTTTATTTGCATCCATAGAGAATACAGATTTGCTGAGAATTCAAGTACAGTATACATTCTATATAACAACACTCATGGGACTTAGTATTGGTAAATATTCACAGTCAAAAGAGTTTTTTATGAAATAGAGTAGAAAAAAAGATCATTTCAAACTAGTATTTGTAATTACATAAAAAATAATCTTCTTCTTCTATATATATAAAAATGGATTGCTGTTCCTTAGTCTCGCTAAAACTCGAGAACAGCTGAACGGATTTATCTTATCTTAGTCTTGAAATGTTCGTGGAGGTTCAGGGAAGGTATAAAAGCTGAAAAAAATTTATTCATTACTGGGAAAACCATAAAAACAGCCCTTTTCTATTTCCCATACAAACGTTTTCTTTGACATTACATTTGACAACTAACTAATATGTCAATCATTTTGTTTGATTGAACAGGAGAAACCTAATTATTAATGGCCTCTAAAACGGAATAGAGTTTGCCCGGTCAGCTATACATATATGTATTTCTAATGACGAAACTAACGCGGACGAAGTCGCGGGCAAAAACTAGTACTTAATATAATGCTAGTGCATATCGTGTTTTTTTTTGTCTTAATTTTGTTTTTTCACATGTTTACTAATTATTGTATGGTATTTTATGTCATATTTTCTTGCTTGATCTATTCATATATATTGTATACCTTTGTGATAAAGAAAATCCAAATAAAAACTTAAGTATCTACCAATGCCATCGTCTCTCCGATTTGTTTTGCATATCCATAAAACCTCTATGGCAATACACAATGATTTTCTCTTACTTGTGTTGGTTACAAGGTGAAAGTTAGTATTCTGTTAAAAAAATGATAAGGTATAGATTAAACATGACTCAAAATAGGAAGAGACTCCATTGGCAAGCAATTTCTATTAGTAATATATAAAAAAAACCTGATTTCTAAGTAGGTTCTAATTAAATTCTTGTTATATTGAGAGTGTAATGTTATAATATGGAGATAGTCATTGCATGGAAGATAAGCTTTTCGAACCAAAGTAAAATAGTAAAGACAGTTTTTAGTTAAATCAAGTGATGTTATCTAGATCTTTAACTGTATTCCGAACTCACCATTACATTTGGTCATACATTTTGTATTCATTTGTGTACTCAAAGATATTAATAATTTCTAAATCTTTTTCTTATAGTACAAAGACATTTAAGTAAAACTATATTTTTGATATAAAAATAGTATTGTGAATTTAAAATAACATTGTTATAAATGTGTTTGTCAGATAAAGACTGTATTGCACATGCAGGTAGTGTTTAAATTGGTTTTTAGGTCTTCCAGATACTCAAAAGCTTGTAGGTGGTGGTTTACTGAAATTTTACTCAATTCTTAGTTATATTTATTGCAAATTAATCAATCATCATAGTTTTTTTTCACACAATATCATCACAACTAGGATTCTGGACACATAAAATGTTCATTGACACTGAACTTAAAATGCAAAAGGTGTTTATATATTTGAATGAAAACTCTATTATATATACAGGGTGACTGGTGAATTACTATTGATATTTGAGCACGTGATATTTGACGATCATATATGACAAAATAAAAATTAATATAACATAAATATTAATAAACTTCTAAGTAAAGTTAACCAAAAGTTATGGAATTAATTACGCATCGTATGAACACCCTACAGATTAGGTATACACACACACACACACACACAGACGCGGCGGCGGCGTAGTGTTGTATCAGCACGCCGCCGCACGCGTCCACACTAGGAACACTTGGAACGTGTACACACTTTATTTATTTATACGGAAATTTTGTCAAAAATTAAGTACCTATTTTTTTTACATAATTCGAATGAGAATCATGTACCGAGTATGCTCCTTAAATATTGATAGTAATTCACCAGTCACCCTGTATATGCTACTATTCATTTTGTCACATAATACTACTTAATTAAATGTTTTAATGGCATTTATTTAACATGGCACATGTATGCAGCCTTTAAATAAATAGTGCATAGTAAAAATGATACTGTTTCTAATTTGCTCCTTCCTTTTGTGATATTTTCACAAAAATAGTAATTATTACTAAGCATTGAAATTACTAATAATGTCTTTTGAATATTTAATTCCAGGTATGACCTACTATCTGAACATGCACACCAAGAAGTCACAATGGGATAAGCCAGATGAGCCGGCACCATTGGTTGATGAGGGTGATGATACACCCTCCCAAGTCCAATGCAGCCATTTGTTGGTGAAGCATAGTGGCAGCCGTCGCCCGTCTTCTTGGCGCGAAGAAAACATTACTCGTTCTAAGGAAGAGGCTATGGAGATTTTGGCGGGTATGTGACATGGCAATTGAGGTTGTATTCTTATATGTATGTATATACATAAAAAGGAATTCAAAGGGGGATTGAAGGCCCAAATAAAGAAACAAGATATTTAATAAAAGACACAAACAAAACTATTTATTGATAAAAACTTTCTCCTAGAACTGAAGCTAGCCAAACTACATATTATAATTAATATATGAGGCAAGAAGTATATTTTTTTTTATATTTATGTCAATTATTTATTTATAAATGGAGATATTTTTTATCAATTATAAAGTAAAGCTAATACTAGTGGGTATTTCTCATCAATGCTCAAATCCCTGCTAATACTTGCTACATGAGTGTGCACAAAGATATGGGTTACGGTAGGCAGAATGTGAAGGACGTTTAATATATTTAAACAAACATTACAAAAAAGAGAAATGTAAGAAAATTTTCGCACTCGACCATACCCAAATTTTTCAGTTATTTTAGTACCAACTACCATCTTATTTACATTAATCTCTGATGCGGATTAATTTTGCTTCGGATCAAGATAGTTTCAATATTCAGAATATGTCTAAGCACAAATCGTTACCAAACAACTAAGAATTACCAAAATACTTGCATAGCAGCATAAAAATCTAAAAATGAATACACAGAGCCACCAGACTTACAAAATTCACGATTATTATGAAAGAAACTATTGTCACCCATTAATTATTTGTCATGTAATGATAAATTGTTTCTCCTAACGCTACTGTTAAATAAATTGTAGTAGGTTAATTAATGAATATTAAAGTCTTAATATTCTACACACAAGTGGCGTCCTCTGTATATCCAAACAGACATCTTAATTTTCTATTTTGAAATATACATATATTCAAATTATTTTTTTTTTTATATTCTCAGACTACCGGCGCAAGATCGTCGAAAAGGAAGCCACCTTCGAGGAGCTCGCTCGCAAGTTCTCTGATTGCTCTTCAGCTAAGCGTGACGGGGATTTGGGCAGATTTGGGAAAGGGCAGATGCAGAAAGCGTTCGAGCAAGTCGCCTTTTCTCTGAGAGTTGGCCAGCTCAGCCAGATTGTTGATACCGACTCTGGAGTGCACATCATTCTCCGGACCGCTTAAACTCTTCACACATACAGCTTCTTTGCATTTATAACAAAACTCCTTCCTGATATACACATTAATTCTCTGCTGATTTATTTTTAATAGTAAGCTTTGGCTTTTAAAAAAATAATCTGATAGTCCATAGCTTTTGAGGGAAGAGTGCATTGCATCTAGTATTTTTTATTGTGTATTTTGTTTCCGTCATCTATAGATGTATTTTCATTTTGAAATATACTCTGAGGGTTATTATTTTTTATCTTTAAGATAAATAAAACTGATTCTTAAGAAATATAAGTACATTGATTGTTTGAAAGAAATTGCTGTCTTTTTAGGTAAATCTGCTTTTAAAAGTATTGATATGTTTGCAAATGTTAATTAAGCTTATTAACGTATTGGTTTACGTTTTTATAGGAGTTACTTGAAAATGATATTGCTCAATAGGTATTGTTCCCCAGTTACTACATTTTAATAGAACTACCAAAATATATTTGTGTTTTATGATTTCATATGTTTTTCTATGAAGGTTTTTCTTTTTTATATAGCAGAAAAAAAAATAACCTCTTTGCTAATATCTGAGGAAACTCTTTTTTAAATGATTTGTTATTTGATTTATTTTTCATTTTATCAAATTAACTTCTTTGTTTTAGCTATTAAACATTTTAAAAGCAATGTACATTACTGAATTTATTTAAAAACAAATATGTACAGCAAAAATAAGTTTTTAAGATTCACTGACATCACTGTTACTTCTGCATTCATATGTCCGTAATAACAGAAACTCAACATATTTGTTATGAAATACAACGTTGTCAAAAATAAAGTAATTTTATTTAACCCAGTTCTACCAGATATCTGAAAATATAAATAAATGAAAATCTATTTCATTTCATTAATAATTAAGATTGATCAAATACCAGCTGTCTGATAAAAATAATAATAGAGATTCTCCAATACATGTATGTGCTGTCATGTTGATAAAATTTTAAAATCGGAATAAATATCAAAAACATTTAGGTACGAGGATTTTTTATGAAACTTATTTATAGAATTATTAGTTTAGGTATACTATTATAAAGAATCGATATAAAGTTTATTATTAACAGTCATAGGATAATCTACACAAAAAAAACATCTTGAACATAAAAAAAAGGATTTTTTTCTACACAACTTTCTCTACATTCTTTGGACACTACTTAACAAATTATAATAATTAATAATTTTGTTGAATACAAGCATCAGTCTTTTTGTATTAGAGAGTATCGTAATACACCAGTCTTATTGTATTAGAGAGTATCGTAATTAGCATACGTAGGTTCCTTAACACAAAACGAGAGAAAGGAAAGTGGATATTGGAATAAGTGGTTTCATTATGTTACTTTTAATTACAGCGCCATCTATGATGAATTCTGGAACTTATATTTTATTGTAAATCTGACTTTTCCAGCAGTTTTCACAGCCACTTATAAAAATAAATTTGAATGGAAGATACAGGTGTCCTAATTGTTCATACTGGAAGTTTTTAATACAATCCGATAGATGTCACTGTTCGCTCAGTTTATATTCATTTGTTTCGAACTGAGATAAAATAGGAAATGAAAAAAAAAATGTTAATTTTGTTAGAGGAATAAACCTTGAAACCAAATTACCTCATTTTTTTTCCAAGTATTTAAGTTTTCGCCATGAATGAGTTTCCGAATATTAAATAAGAATTAGATTAAGGTGCAACTGTGAATAGATAAATTTAAGTGAATTAAATAGAAGATATAAAATGATTGCCTTGAGTAAAAATATTTAAATAAGTAGATGACGTATTATCAAAATATTTTTATTCTCCAGGACTCGCAACAGAACAGAAATAGAAACAGAATTTCTAGGGAAGATAGAATGTCTTTAATAATTACGTCTGCTTAAATACAGAAACACACTAACATATTTCTATAAACAAGATCAATCTGTGGGAAAACTAGACCTCTACAGTTAGTGCCGTTCATACCTACGTTCATTGTCATAGTGGGCGTAGGTTTTATTCCAGAAATATAGGAAAGTTAATTTTAATTAATTTGTTTGTCATGGTTGTGTGTCTAAGAATTGATATCTGTGAACATACCGTTCCGTACAATGTTGGTATGGAATAGAATAATATGAAGTCGTTCTGTTGACATCTAAGCAATACTTTAATTAAAAACTCATTTTCTTTTCATTAACATCCATACCAATTTTATGAAATTCGTTGTTATATAAATACATAATTTACTTTAAATTGAGCAGCAACAAAATAAGGTTTTATTTTACTATAATGAAAACACTTTTTAAACTAATTTATAAACGAGTTTTGTTTTTAATTTTCTCCGGCAATTATCTTATGCTGTTCCAAGACTAATTATTTGTTTTAAAGAGGTTATTACTTCACGACTTATTTTTTTTTGTACTGAATGTTAACACATAATTTTACAAACATTTTTGGGAATTAGATTATCTAGATAAAAGGTAAAAAGAATATAGTTTAGTTCAATAGTAATTAAGTTCAAAAGAGAAATAGTTTAACTTGAATATTAAAAAGAAACAGATAACTGTAAGGATTCTTAATAATAGACCGGGATCTGTACCGTCGGCCTGCACATATATGATTTCAAATAACAAATGAGTGTGACGAAGGCTTACATTGAAAATTTTCCCTCCTGTGAAAACTAGGTGCACGTTTAACTTAAGAATGATTGTACTAGCCTAAAAAATGAATATACCAATTAAAAAAACCTTTAACTCAATAGAATTAAAAATAAAATATAGATATTCCTCTATAACATAGTATATAAAGTAGTTTGACCTTCTTTTTGATAGATCAATACGACTATTTTAAATAATATGAAAACCCAGTTAGGCATTTTTATTACATAATAGGTATACAATATTTTTGAAAGATAAATGAACGATATTTATCAATCTATATATAAACAACTTTTTTAAATATTGTTTGCGATTTTCATTTTTTTGTTTCAAAACATTTTTTATGTAACATTGGTTTATAATTAGCCATGGCAGCTTATATCCAATGATAAAACAAAGAAGAATGATAGCAGAATTACTTGAAACTTATTAATTCTAGAATATTGTCGACGTTTTTTTATGTTTTTATAACATTATGAAACGTATATTATTTTCCTACTCGATACAATTTTTCTTTAAAGAATGAAGAACAAGTACCTATAGAAAATTTAATCAATCGATACAGGATGTTAAAATATAGGTACAACGAATATCTACAGTTCAGTAGTCGTCCGCCGAAAGCATCTAACAAATTATTTGTACAATCACAGATCGAAAATCGACTTATTACGCTTGCTCTTACACTCTATATATGTAGTACTTATGCTTTTATACAAGCTGTACATTTGACATTTTTGTTAAAAGTAATAAGTAATGATTTAAAATTCTAACTTACTAAGGGAATTACTAATTTACTAAGAAAATATCGATGTTTAATGAAAATTGATTATGAGTTTTCATTTTTCTTGGAAATGCTTTGAACTGAATGGGCCATTAATCCAATTGATGAAACAGAAATGGTGAATTTAGTATAACAAGATCAACAGAAATAAGCGGACTATAAAATAGCTATTAAACGTTTTGACTGCAGTTTATTGAGTTCGACAAATGAAAAATTATTGAACCTCTGAGCTGGACATAGGATACGAATTCATTACTATAATTGCTTTATTTATGTAGGTGTGTCCATATTTCTATAGAAAACACGTCACCCTAATTTTTATCAATCAATTAATTCTCCAATAACATCCGTCTTTACTGTTTTCATACTCTTACATTACATACAGTTAGCATAAATATGAATTTAATAAACTTATTTTTTCACTCAATGCAAGTTGTATTGCAATAATGCAATTTTTATTACTATATTTTTTACTATCGTTAAAAGGGAAGTAGTAGAACCATGTATACGGTAGTATTAATATCTTTATAATTCTGTATTTCATTGTATGCCGTAGGATCCGGCTTTTGCTAGAATGTAATGAATGCTGCCCTGTTTTTTATTCTGAATAAATTGATTGTAATATAATTGGTACTTTTGCAGTAAACAGCGTTCTCTCATTATTTTCTATGACTAATATATTTTATAGAAATTGTGCTTTTATGTATAATTACTGCAATCCATTCTTTCGAGGTTTTATGGTGTATATTTTCATAAAAGAAATATTTAGTATTGATTGAAACAAAAGGTAAATCGTACTATAAATGTCTCTTTGCAGTGCTAGGGCTTAGGCAACAAATAAGCAGAGGTTTTGACTTTAGGAGATTAATCTCACGGCTCGCTATCTGCTTATCAACTATACTATACGTAAATCAACTTCATATATCTTGTTAGATGTTATCAGGTGTTATCTGCTAAGACCAGATAGTATTTAATGTGCATTAGTTTAATATAAGATTTTTTTCCGTATTCAATGCATCTTATTGTTATTTTTATTGGTCAACATCTATTACGACGATTAATGTTTGGTATTTAAACAGTATCATGTTAAAATCTATATATGTATGTATTTAAAGTTATGGTAAAATATTTAGGATTTTATTTTATTTCTTTTACTATTTATTTATATAAGTTAAATTTCAATTATATCCAAAGCAAATAATTAAGGTTTCTCTTGAAAAGAAGCTTTCATATTATATTTCTAATTTCATTTGGGTATGTGTCATAGACGTACCTATTGGCTATTACGTTTTTAATATTAAGTTCAACCGTAAAAGAATTTATATTATATATACGTATTTGTTTAATGATTATTTAATAGTCACAGATGTCCCGGAAAGTTAAATTTTTTTACCCTTATTATTATACATTTGTAATCATTTTTGTTCCCATAGAGTCAAAAATGATTAACAGACTAATATGTAGTTTCTTAATTTAGACAACTTTTGCTTATCAATAATATTACAAATGAGATTTACTCAATGATAATTTAATTTTAAATTAGATAATATAATTGCTTTTTGTTGTCCTAGTG